ATGGGTTGTGATGCATTTATGTTCTTGTAGTTTTCTACGTGGTTTTCAATGTCTGTGTGGTCATGTCTGTCTATTTGTGTATGTGAGTGACGTTCATATACCGTGTGGCCCAAAAGTCAGGACACCTGGGTTTATTATGTTTATTTTAACAAATCGCACAGGGTTATATAATAATAAGAACGGAACAGGAGGATTTCTCCACAAATCTGGCTGTCGCCTGATGATGCCAGTTGGAATTACTGGCCGAAAAAACATCGTACTCGAATTGTCAATTTTGTGGGTTTACTCTCCAACACACCGGTGTGCTGTACTAGTAACGAATTAGTATGTTTCTTTTTTACGTGACAAACCTTACTAATTGGCTGCGTCGGATGGTGGCACGTTTAACGACGCATGTATATTTACGTGATCTAACCCAAAAAAACCTCTATTATGGATTATTTTATGTATTTTAACACATGTTCAAACTGACTGCCATTAACATGAATGCATGAATTATCTTTTGAAATTAATGTAGGGCTTTTTTTTTAAGATTACAGGTCTAATCTCTGAACATTCATCAGTTATGTTTGTCTCAATGCATGCAAGGTTCTTGATCGATCTCGATTTGAAGTTTTCGTGACTGCAGGGATCCATACTCGTTGGTTCTTTCGGTAAAGTCACGTAGGTATACAATAAAATCAATTAAATCACGACGTTTCGGGCACACCCCGGCATTTTTTTGCCATGCTTGTGTCTTACTTGTAGACTCCACTCCCCCTATCCCACACCCCCTTCTCTATCTCTCCTCCCTGGCCCCCCACCCTCCTCTCTTACCTATATAGCCTCTTGTTACAGCAGCCCTTTTGCCCACTTCAGCAATTGTTTCTTGCTGTGGTTGTCCCACCTGATGACGGACGCTTGTGTTGCGCCCGAAACGTCGTGATTTGATTTATTTTGTTTTATACCTACGTGACTTTACCGAAAGAACCAAAAAGAGTATGTTCTTGGTCGAGTTTTGTAAATGATGGATTTGAGGTGAATGATGATAGATCAAATATTAACTTAAATAATTAACAATCAAAAATGTAATGCCCGTGTTAAAACAAATGAAATAATCCTACGTGTTAAATTTTGATTTTAATTAGAAAAAACCACGGCAAGAAAATTTGAAAAAACCGCCACTTTTTTCAAAATGTTTTGCTGTTTTTCACACCTGATGATGATTGCTTGTGTTGCAGTCGAAACGTCGTGAGAATTGAATCATACGTGTTCTGACTAATGGGCGACACGTTATGTGCGTGAGGCTGTGTGTGTGGGGGTGGTTTTGGTGTGGGAGCGGTGGCGTAGGCGGTTAGCGCGCTGGGCTATGAACCTGGGAACTCATAGTTCTATTCCCGCTCACGACCAACACCAGTGACCATTTTCTGAGCCAGTTACAGGCTTCCGCTAGGTCGAATCAGGATCAAATGAGCACCTGGGAGACAAATGCGGCACGGTCGTGGTGCTGACCACTCACCCCCTCATGTGCTGTGGAAGCCGTCGTAATGTGTTCGCTAATACGCTTGCCCCAACAGTTAGTTAAGGCTATAGCTGTCTTCGTAGTATTTTATGAGCGTATTTCCTGTGATTTTGTACACACGTGCGGTTTGTGTTCATGTTGGGATGTGAATGTGGTGGTGAGCAGTCGTGCAGTGGTTAGCGCACTGCACTAAGAGCCCAGCGAATCGAATTCAATTCCCACTCCTGGCCAACATCAGTAAATAATCTCAAGTGGTCCTAGGCCTTCCTTAGGTCGACTCAGTCTTAAATGAGTACCTGGTGTGGTGTGTAACCATCAGCATTGCGGAGACAAAGGCCGTTTAGCGTGGTGCTGGCCACCCACCCACCCCCTCATGTGCGGTCCCAGCGTTAATTGGTGCTCACTAAGAGCATTTGCCCCAAAGTCTGTTAAAGGCTCCACGGGGGAGATTTGTATTTGTGTGGTGAGTGTGCTTGCTGGGAATCCATCTAAGTGTGCGTTATTGACGAATGTCCACATCGACACGTGCTTTGCGGAAGCACTGTTGCGATAATGGATATAGATTACATTAACCTCTGCAACCCTCTCACTCCGCGTGTGTCTCTTGGCTTCCCTTCTTGCTGCCTCTGTCTCATCACGACTTCCTCCATTTATTTCAGTCTCCATATCCTTAATTCCCACTTGCATTTGTCCCCTGCGTCCCTCCCCTCCCCTCTCTGCAGTCGGTCCGTGTTGGCGAGCGTACATGTAGTTGACACGTGGCGTACACGTGTTGCGGCGCAAGTTACACGACGCAGAGGCAGCTTCTGTTAGGGGCTCACGCCGAGTTTATTGAGGTTCTTACGCCGAACCAAAACCACCCTAGCCTATAACTCCCCATGGGACAGGGGACTGTGATCCCTACAACCCCGGCTAACTCAGGCTCTCCATCCCTGCCCCGGTCCGGGACTACCCCAACCTCGGCCGGTCGGGCGGAGTAGCCTCCCTTAGCCTCGTGTGAGGATAACCTACCCCGAGTCCCCACTCCTACCCCCGGGTCCCCCCTTTAAATACCCCCAGGGGGACATGACGTCACCGTCCCCCAAGGTCCGCCTGACGTCACGTTCTACGACGCCACTCTCTCCGAGGGCGAGCGTGACGTGACGTCACCCACTACTCCTCTACACATGCACAAAAAATGCAAAACCTTTCCGTCAATTCACTGCCAGATGAGGGCCTCCCCACGGTCGTGCATGCAGGTCGTAGAGGGGGTGGGGGGGGGTGATCATACTATACCACGTCAGTGCGTGTCGGTGAATGCATAGACTTTGCAGTATAAAAATACAGTACAACGATCAGATAGACATTTTTTGCATTGCCCTCTGCTGTCATCACGCAAACTCTGGTGATCCTAGCAGCGGGTTTTGGCGAGCCATCGAACAAAGACGGTCACTGCACAGAGGTCGCAAACGGGTTTTGATTCCTTACCCGTACCCGTACCCGGCCGCACCAGGGTTGCAAACGGGTACCCGTACCCGGCCGTACCCGTACCCTACCCGTACCCGGCCGGGTACGGGTAGGGTACGGGTATCGGGTACCTGATTGCGACCTCTGGGATGAAGCCATGTTGCAGGCGCGGGTGGGTTGATTCTAGGAACTTGAATTGTGAGAAGAGACAAGAGGTTGGGAAATTAGTGACAAACGGTTACTCACCAGTGACTCACGGCCTACCCGTACCCGGCCGCACCAGGGTCGCAAACGGGTACCCGTACCTGGCTAGCCGGGTATCGGGTAGGGTACGGGTATCGGGTACCCGGTTGCGACCTCTGTCACTGCATTGCGCGCTTTGAGTCGCCCTTCCGCGGCCGTCTGGAACGCTCTTCCTTCCGATATTCGGAAGCCACTGGAGCTATGCACGTTGAAACAATCTAGATTGAACACTAATTTCTCGATAACTATTTTTGTGTACTCACGTAGAAGGGAAATAATAAAATAATAAAAATAAACACAATAAAATAAAATTATCAGAACAGGGCTGTCGGAAAGACAGCGTCCTGTCCTTCCGACAGCTCTGTTTCTTCACCTGAGAACGGCTGCTTGCGTTGTGGCCGAAACGTTGTGAGAATTATTTTATTATGTTTTGTTTTTATTATTTTATTATTTCCCTTCTACGTGACTTTACCGAGAGAACCAAGAAGATGAATCCCTGCAGTCATGAAAGCTTTAAATCGATACCTATTGTATATTACTGATGTCTATTTTTATTATTCCTTTTCTAATCACGTTTAAAAATGAAAAAGGAACATTGAGTGAATTGAGACAAAACGTAATTGATGAGCTTTCAAAACACATTTCATGCACGCATTGATGTTAACGAAAGTCAGTTTGAACGTGTGTTACAATAAATAAAGTAACCCTTTGCGATTTGTCCAAATAAATCTAACCCCATGTTTCCCGACCTTTGAGCCATCCTGTATCGTGGACGTGCCCGTGCCAGAGCCCACTCGCTTTCCTGAATGGTCAATGCGATGTCTGCCAAAGTGTAATCGCATACTCTTTGTTTTTTTCGGTAAAGTCACATAGGTAAAAAATAAAAAAATAAAAATTGCTTTCGCTAAGTTGTCCTCACCTGAAGAAGGACGCTTGTGTTGCGCCCGAAACGTCGTGAATTAATTTATTTTATTTTTTTAAAATTACCTACGTGACTTTACCGAAAAAACCAAAGAGTATGAATCCTTGCAGTCACGAAAACTTCAAATCTAGAATTGTAACAGCGTTTGTGCTCTAATCCACGGCTTCGTTTCTCTTTCTGCCTCTCGGTGTGAATCCCCGCACGTGCCACGGCCGTGATAAGAGCCGTCAACTCAACGTATGGCACTCGCTTAAGGGGCCGTTCATAAATGACGTCACGCACCTAGGGGGGGGGGATGGGGGGTCAGACATTTGTGACGATGTGTGACGAGGGGGGGGGTGAAGAATGTGACGTCACATCAAAATGCGCAACTTCAAATAAATATGGACAACACGTTCTACTTATCTTCTTGGTTCTTTCGGTAAAGTCACGTAGAAGGGAAATAATAAAATAATAAAAATAAAACATAATAAAAAAAAATTGTTTTATTTTCATTATTTTATTATTTCCATTCTACGTGACTTTACCGAAAGAACCAAGAAGATGAATCCCTGCAGTCACGAAAGCTTTAAATCGAAGCGTTCTACTTAATTAAATAGACTTCTTAATAAATGTTTTCTCCTACAACATCAGAGTGCAGCGCCGCATTAAATACGCACTACAATGACAATAGTTTAAAGCGATTTGAAGCATGTTTTATTTGTTTTGGGGGGGTGGGAGCAGAGCTTTGTGACGTCATATTTGAGAGGGGGGGGGGGTCTGACCTTTTGTGACGTCGTGTGACGAAGGCGGGGGGGGGGTCAAAAATCGTCCAAAATCGCGTGACGTCATTTATGGACGTCCCCCTAATGTCTTCAAATGCGTGTGTGTGTCTGTGTGTTTTCACAGGACGGAGAAAACAAATTCGCGAAGTGCACAAACGACACAAACTGCCTTCCCAGGCACAACGATCACCTCTATAGCGGTGCGAGAGGCCTGTGTGTGTGTGTGTGTGCAAGATACGAATGTGTGTGTGTGTGGGGGGAGCGGTGGTGCAGTGGTTTAGGAGGTGGGAAATGAGTGTAACAGCTGATTATCGTCAGCCTCAAACTCCCCCTCCCCCCCCATGGCACTGCTCATAGTTTCAGTTTTATTTATTAGGTATAGACCTGTGAGCCATTCGGCTCTTGAATTGGGTGCAACCACAACAAACAAAAACGTGAACAAGAAAACATCTTAAAGTGACTATGTGACTAAGTGCAAACAGAAAATCCAAGAAAAGACTGCTAAATATTGCAGAAAAAGCACCGTACACCAACGCTGTGTGCACAAATCCCAGTGGGATGCAAGTCAAACAACAACGACAACCACAAGACAACTTAGATTAAGGCAATCATTCTAACCCCGTACTACACCAAACAAACATGGCCAAACAAAAAAAAACTTTTCGAAATCACCAAAATAAAGCCATGAAAGCAATGTAATTCTCGATTTGAAGCTTTCGTGACTGCAAGGATGCATACTCTTAGGTTTTTTCGGTAAAGTCACGTAGGTAAAAAGTAAATAAATAAGATAAGAGCTATACAGCTCAGTGGGCCTTACCTAGTAAACAAACAAAACCAGTCCTCTCTGTGTTCTCTCATGTCTGAATGCCCTAATCGCCACCTCCTCTTCACCACCTCCTCCTCTTCACCACCTCCTCCTCCTCCTCACCTCTTGACTTTGGGTCCACCGCAGGAGAGAAGACTGGACGCTGCGTGCCGTTTGACAAGAACGTGTCCACATGCGAAGTGAACGCCTGGTGCCCAGTGGAGGTGGAGGGAAAGAACATGGGGTGACAAAAGCTTCACTTTCACACACGCGCACGCAAGCGCAAAGCAAAGACAGCGATCCCACATCCAGCCTTTAGGAGACTGTTGGGGCAGAGGTCGCAACCGGGTACCCGATACCCGTACCCTACCCGATACCCGTACCCTACCCGATACCCGTACCATACCCGATACCCGTACCCTACCCGATACCCGGCTACCCGTACCCGGCCAGGTACGGGTATCCGTTTGCGACCCTGGTGCGGCCGGGTACGGGTACGGGTAGGCCGTGAGTCACTGGTGAGTCACCGTTTGTCACTCATTTCCGGTAGGGTACGGGTAGGGAACGGGTGCTCGTACCCGGCCGGGTACGGGTACCCATTTGCGACCCTGGTGCTGCCGGGTACGGGTAAGGAATCAAAACCGGTTTGCGACCTCTGCTGTTGGGGCAGGTGCTGTTAGTGAGTACACACGAAGGCCGGCAAAGGCACACGGGTAAAGTGTGTGACCAACACCTCGCCCGACCGCCTTTGTCTTCCCACAATGCTGATGATTACACACCGCACCAGGTAATCATTTTTTTAAGGCTGAGTCAACCTTTGGGGACGTCCAAGACTGGTTCAAATATACGCTTACTGTTATCGGTCGTCAGTGGGAATCGAACTCGAGTTGTCGGGATTCGTCGCACAGTGCACTACCGGCTCCCCGCACGCCCTTACGTATATATACACACACAAACACATTCCTGCGGAGGAAGCTGGTAGGAACGTTGGGTTGCTCGGTCAATGGCCAGGGTCAATGGCAGCGTGGTGTATTCCGCAAATATGGCCGACTGTGAGGGCGGGCACAAGCCGGCGTGAGTAGGTTAAACGTTGAGTTGTATAAGGCCACCACGGGGTGACCAGCCCCTTTCCACCCAGCCCCATCCCTCCCCCACCCAGCCCCACCCTCCCCTCTTCACCCAGCCCCACCTTCCCCACCCAGCCCCTCCCCACCCTCCCCACCCAGCTCCACCCCCCACCCTCCTCTCTCCACCCAGCCCCACCACTCCCATTTTTGGATGCAGGACGGAGGGACGGATACAATAATCCCCTGTGGGCTGGTGGAACCAGGTGGTTCCGACCAGTAATAGCAAATCCATTTTATCCACGAAAATCTCACCGAATTTCAGTGTACTCATTCAGGAAGATCCTGCTCATTGGGATGTTTGACCAATTCATTAATGAGTAGTCTCAAGTGTGGTTGTCCAGGTTGGACGTACATTTTAGTCCTGAATATCCCTGCAGTAGTGCTGGCATGGTTGAGTTACTATGTAGGTCCGTGAGATACGGTGAAAAGTTCAACATGGTGTTTGCGCCGTGAGTGTGAATCGAACTCGGGTCGCCGAGTTCGTAGCGCGGCTCGCTAACTGCTACATTACCCATAATTCGCAATCTAATAAAAAAAAAACCTTTATTACGTGATCGAACCCTAAAAAACTTTATTATGGATGACATTGGTCGCGAAAGCCTAGGTGTAAAACTGCAACATTATCGCTCCCAAAAAATACAAAGATCCTCCCTTTAGCCTGAACAAACTGTTGTGGCAAGTGCTGTTAGCGAGCACCTATTAAGGCCGAAACGATACACGAGGGGGTAGGTGGCTAGCACGACGCCCGACCGACTTTGTCTCCCCAGTGGCGATGTTTACACACCGCACCAGGTACTCATTTGAGACTGAGTCGACCCAGGGGAGGCCCAGGACCGGTTCAGATAATCGTCACTAGTGTTGGCCGTGAGCGGGAACAGAACTCCGATCGAAGAGTTTGTAGCGCAGCGCGCTAACCGCTACACTACCGCTCCCCACCAATACCAATACCTGCCATTTGCCACGGCGCTTGTGCCAGGTCAGGTGCACTTTGAGGCCATGTGTAGTGTCAAAGGCCCGCTTATAGGTCTCGGGACAGGCCCAGGTGCCATGGGTCGACTGGCTGAGATGACTGCCTGATGTACCACCTGTGCCCCCGACTGTGACAACTTGCTGTGCTTTAGCCACCCGGCGCTCCGCTCGTTGTTGTGAACGTCGCTCCTCCACCTTCCGTTGTTGCTGGAGGGCGACTGCCTCCAACTGCCCAGTAGCGTCCTTTACGAGCCTTCTCCACAGAGGCCGATCTTGATACCACTGGTACCGGTCATTGACAAGTCCACTCAGCTCCACGTCCTCTTCTACCACATCACTCCATCTCCTCTCTAGTCCGTGCCACGCCCGTTTAGCCCCCTCTATCCGGCAGACTACGTGACCCACCCAGTGCAGCCTTGCCTGCCGGAAAACCTCACGGATGGAACTTTGTCCAGACACATGCATACGCGTTATTTCACTGATGCATTGTGTGGCCACTTTTGGATTCTTTACAGAAAGCGTCTGCTGCGGTCGGCAGAAAACTTCACCATTCTCATCAAGAACAACATCCGCTTCCCCAAGTTCAACGTCTCAAAGTGAGCAAGAGAGCAAGCGATCAGGCAGGGAGGGAAGAGCCCTCACACACACAAACACGTCAATTTTGTCGTGGTTTTTGTGGTTCACTGAGTGGATTCTTGAGCAGATGTGTGGTTGCGTGGGTGCTTATTAAAGCTATGGCTGATTATGAAGTTGAATTGGTGTGCGGTTGGTTGAGCGTGCGATTGGCATTTTTTTGTGGTTGCTTGTTTGACTGTGCAGTTGGCTGTGTGTCTGTGTGGTCTCTTGGGTGAGTGTGTCTGTGATTGGTGACTGTGTGGTTGATTGTGTGGATGTGCTTACAGGGGGAACCTGCCGGAGGACATGGACAAGAATTTCCTAAAGTCGTGCCACCACCACCCGAAGCACAACAACCTGTGCCCCATTTTTTCCCTGCGCGACATCCTAAAGGGCGCTGGGCAAGACTTCAAAAGCATCGGGACCAATGTGAGGAAGCCCACCATATCACGAGGGCAAGTGTCAGAGACACCGCCAGCAGTAAACACAATACCAGATCCAAACACAACACCAGTGGCAGCTACACAACCAGAACCAAACACCCCACCAATTTCAAACACCCACCAATTTCAAACACGCCACCAATTTCAAATAACCCACCAATTTCAAACACGCCACCAATTTCAAACACCCCACCAATTTCAAACACCCCACCAATTTCAAACACCCACCAATTTCAAACACCCCACCAATTTCAAATAACCCACCAATTTCAAACACCCACCAATTTCAAACACCCCACCAATTTCAAACACCCCACCAATTTCAAACACACCACCAATTTCAAACAACCCACCAATTTCAAACACCCACCAATTTCAAACACCCCACCAATTTCAAACACCCACCAATTTCAAACCACCCCAACCCCATTTCAAACACCCCACCAATTTCAAACACCCCCAATTTCAACCACACCCACAATTTCAAAACACCCCACCAATTTCAAACACCCCACCAATTTCAAACACACCACCAATTTCAACACCCCACCAATTCAAACACCCCACCAATTTCAAACACCCCACCAATTTCAAAAACACCACCAATTTCAAACACACACCAATTTCAAAACACCCCACCAATTCAAACACCCACCAATTTCAACACCCACCATTCAAACAACCCACCAATTTCAACACACCCACCAATTTCAAACACCCCACCAATTTCAAACACCCCACCAATTTCAAATAACCCACCAATTTCAAACACCCCACCAATTTCAAACACCCCACCAATTTCAAACACCCACCAATTTCAAATAACCCACCAATTTCAAATAACCCACCAATTTCAAACACCCCACCAATTTCAAACACCCACCAATTTCAAACACCCCACCAATTTCAAACAACCCACCAATTTCAAACAACCCACCAATTTCAAACAAACCACCAATTTCAAACAAACCACTAATTTCAAACACACCACCAATTTCAAACACACCACCAATTTCAAACACACCACCAATTTCAAACAAACCACCAATTTCAAACAAACCACCAATTTCAAACACGCCACCAATTTCAAACACACCACCAATTTCAAACACACCACCAATTTCAAACACACCACCAATTTCAAACACACCACCAATTTCAAACACCCCACCAATTTCAAACACCCACCAATTTCAAACACCCCACCAATTTCAAACACCCCACCAATTTCAAACACCCACCAATTTCAAACACCCCACCAATTTCAAACACCCACCAATTTCAAACAACCCACCAATTTCAAACAACCCACCAATTTCAAATAACCCACCAATTTCAAACAACCCACCAATTTCAAACACCCCACCAATTTCAAACACCCACCAATTTCAAACAAACCACCAATTTCAAACAACCCACCAATTTCAAACAACCCACCAATTTTAAATAACCCACCAATTTCAAACAACCCACCAATTTCAAACAACCCACCAATTTCAAACACCCACCAATTTCAAACAAACCACCAATTTCAAACACACCACCAATTTCAAACACCCCACCAATTTCAAACAAACCACCAATTTCAAACAACCCACCAATTTCAAATAACCCACCAATTTCAAACAACCCACCAATTTCAAACAACCCAGCAATTTCAAACACCCACCAATTTCAAACAAACCACCAATTTCAAACACACCACCAATTTCAAACACCCCACCAATTTCAAACACCCCACCAATTTCAAACACCCCACCAATTTCAAACACCCCACCAATTTCAAACACCCACCAATTTCAAACACCCCACCAATTTCAAACACCCCACCAATTTCAAACACCCCACCAATTTCAAACACACCACCAATTTCAAACACACCACCAATTTCAAACACGCCACAAATTTCAAACACACCACCAATTTCAAACACCCCACCAATTTCAAACAAACCCACAAATTTCAAACACACCACAAATTTCAAACACACCACCAATTTCAAACACACCACTAATTTCAAACACACCACCAATTTCAAACACCCCACCAATTTCAAACAAACCCACAAATTTCAAACACACCACAAATTTCAAACACACCACAAATTTCAAACACACCACCAATTTCAAACACACCACCAATTTCAAACACACCACCAATGGCAGCCAGAGCACCAGTGCTGAACACGAAACAGTTGCCGTTGCTGAGTTGGGAAAAGTGACGAAGGCATGGGTCAGGGTCTCGCCAGACAGCATAAGGCCATGTCGCGTGCAGGAGATGTTGCGGGTATGTATAATGAACTTCTTTCGCGCCGTACGTAGCCAACTAATTGGAGGTGCGGTGGGGGGGAAGGACAACGAAGAGGTTCCTGCAGCGTTGAGGTTTACTTTGCGAGAGGATGAGAGTCCAGTATCACTGATAACTCCGCGGCGTGGCATGCCCTTCGTCGGTGTGATTGTCAAGCGTTTGAGAGGGGTGCTTTTGAGGGTAACAGCTGATTATCGTCAGGCCTCAGGCTCTCCCCCCCCCCCCCCCAATGGCACTGCTCACCTCAGTGTTGCAGTCTGACACCAGCATGGAGGTAGGAGTTGTTCTGGCAACATAACCGAAACCTTTTTACAAGGAATCACGTGTGCGTTAACCACAATACTTGTGGTCAAAATGCAAAAAAAAAACAGACTAAAAAATAAGAATAAAAAAATCGAAGAAATACATAAATTAAGCAAATTCAACATATTTTTTTTTCTTATTTTGATGATGTGTGACGAGGGGGGGGGGCGGTTGAGAAATTTGACGTCACATCAAAATGCTGCAACTTTAAATAAATAAAGACAACACGTTCTACTTAATTATACTTTTTAATAAATGTTTTCTCCTACAACATCAGAGTGCAGCGCCACATTAAACACGCACTACAATGACAATAGTTTAAAGCGATTTGAAGCATGTTTTTTTTTTTGGGGGGGGGGGCAGAGCTTTGTGACGTCATATTTGAGGGAGGGGGGTCTGACTTTTTGTACCACCGTGTGACTAGGGGGGGGGGGGGTCAAAAATCGTCCAAAATCACGTGACATCATTTATGGACGGCCCCAAAGGCGGCCGTGCGTGGTGCTGGCAACCCACCTCCTCCAACAACACTTGCCCCAGCGGTCTGTTTCGGCTACACGGGGGGATCTTTGTGCCCCGGTGTGCAGGGTGGAGTTCTGGGCGTGCTCATAGACTGGAGGTGCAACTTCGATTTCAACGCCTCGTTCTGCGAGCCGCTCTACTCGTTCCGACGCCTCGACACGGTGTCCAAGCAGAACCCCGTGGGCTCAGGGTACAACTTCCGGTGAGGTCAAACCCCCGACAGCTAACATCTGCACCAACATCAGCACCAACATCAACACCAACACCAACATCAACACCAATATCAACACTAATATCAACATCAATATCAACATCAACACCAATACCAACATCAACACCAATACCAACATCAACATCCGCACCAACATCAGCACCAACATCAACACCAATATCAACACCAACATCAACATCAGTACCAACATAAACACCAATATCAACACTAATATCAACATCAACACCAATACCAACATCAACATCAACACCAACATCAACATCAGTACCAACATCCGCACCAACATCAGCACCAACATCAACACCAATATCAACACCAACATCAACACCAATACCAACATCAACACCAACATCATCAGTACCAACATAACCGACATCAGTACCAACATCAACACCAAATCAGTGCCAACATCAGTACCAACACCAACATCAACACCAACATCAACACCAACATCAGTACCAACATCATCAACACAGTGGCGTCACACCAACACTAGCAACAACAACAACAGCCAAACACTCGCAGTGACACGGAATTCTCGCGGTTTGCGGACACCCGCGCATGCAACGGCGAAAGGGTGGCACAAACAAAACAAGGCCCCCATTCGCCCACCGCGTGGCGTGGCGTGGCGGTTGGGGTCACGGCGGATGGGGTCACGGCGGGGGGTGGGGTCACGGCGGCGGTTGGGGTCACAGCGGGGGGTGACGTCACGGCGGTGGGTGACGTCATGGCGGGGGGTGGGGTCACGGCGGCGGTTGGGGTCACGGCAGGGGGTGGGGTCACGGCGGATGGGGTCACGGCGGGGGGTGGGGTCACGGCGGCGGTTGGGGTCACGGCGGCGGTTGGGGTCACGGCTGCGGTTGGGGTCACGGCGGTGGTTGGGGTCACGGCGGCGGTTGGGGTCACGGCCGCGGTTGGGGTCACGGCGGCGGCGCTTGTGCCAGGCCACGTGCACTTTCGAGGCCACGTGCGAAGCGTCGTCGAAGGCTCGCCGCCATGGGGTTTTTTGACTGACCTGAGATGACTTGGGCAGACGCAAACACCCCCGTGCGTTTTAGCTGCCGCCAGGCACTCTGCTCGTCGTCGTTGTTGTGAGCGTCGCTCCTCGTAACAGGCACACGCAAAAACAAAGACCCCCCCCCCCCCCCCCCCGTATAGCCTCGATGGACTGTTGGGGCAAGTGCTGTTAGCGAGTCGCACCTATGAAGGCCAGCACGGCACACGAGGGGGTGGATGGCCAGCACCAGGCCCAACCGCCTTTGTCTTCCCATAACAGGCACAAAGACAAAGATCTCCCGTATAGCCTTTACAGACTTGAGGCAAGTGCTGTTAGCGAGCACCTATGAAGGCCGCCACAGTACACGAGGGGGTGGGGTGGTCAGCACCCCGGTGGCGACGTTTACACACCGCACCAGGTACACAATTGAGGCTGAGTCGACCTAGGGGAGGCCCAGGACCGGTTCCCATAATCGTCACCGGTGTTGGCCGTGAGCCGGAATCGTAGTGCTGGCCACCCACCTCCAACTCGCTAACAGCACTTGCCCCTACAGTCTGTTGAGGCTATAAGGGGGATCTTTGTCTTGTAAATGCCCGTGCCGCATATGCACGTGCGCTCTGCGCTACGAACCCGACGACGCGAGTTCGATTCCCGCTCACGGCCAACACCCAGTGACGCTTGTTGGAACAAGTGTTGTGCCTCCCCTAGGTCGACTCAGCCGCAAATTGAGTACCTGGTGCGGTGTGTAAATGTCGCCACCAGAGAGACAAAGGCGGCCGCGCGTGGTGCATCCACCCACCCCTCACTCTGTGCCGTGCCGGCCTTCATTGGTGCTCGCTAACAGCACTTTACCCAACAGCCGTAACAAGCCCAAACAAAGACTAAGGTCCCACCGTATAATCTGTTAATAATAGGCACAAACACGCACACAGTTTCAGTTTCCTTTATTAGGTATAGCCCCGTGAGCCATTGGGCTCTTGAATCGGGTGCAATCGCAACAAACTAAAAACAAAAACATGAAAACATCTCGAAGTGACTACGTGCAAACAGGAAAATCCCGGAATAAAACAGCAAAAATCTTCCAGAAAAAGCACCGTACACCGACGCTGTGTGCAAAGATCCCAGTGGGATGCAACCACGATCGGGCTGCTTCTCCTTCGCTGCGAGTCGGTGCCTTCTCTCGTTCCGCGCCAGGTTCGCTAAGCACTACGTCTTCCCCAACGGCACAGAGCACCGCACGCTCATCAAGGCGTACGGAGTGCGCATCGACATCCTCGTGTCTGGCCAGGTAAGGCCACTTCGTCGCCAAACCCTGAACTCATCACAACTCACACTGCCTGGGTTCAAACCCTAACCTCATCACAACTCACACTGCCTGGGTTCAAACCCTAACCTCATCACAACTCACACTGCCTGGGTTCAAACCCTGACCTCATCAGAGGTCACACCGTCTGGGTTCAAACCCTGACCTCATTCACAACTCACACTGCCTGGGTTCAAACCCTGACCTCATCAGAGGTCACACCGCCTGGGTTCAAACCCTAAACTCATCACAACTCACACTGCCTGGGTTAAAACCCTGACCTCATCAGAGCTCACACTAGCTGGGTTCAAACCCTGACCTCATCAGAGCTCACACTGGCTGGGTTCAAACCCTGACCTCATCAGAGCTCACACTGGCTGGGTTCAAACCTTGACCTCATCAGAACTCACACTGCCTGGGTTCAAACCCTAACCACATCAGAGGTCACACTGTCTGGGTTCAAACCCTGACCACATCAGAACTCACACCCCTGGGTTCAAACCCTGACCTCATCAGAACTCACACTGTCTAGGTTCCATCCCTAACCTCATCAGAACTCACACTGCTTGGGCTCAAACCCTGACCTCATCACAACTCACACTGGCTGGGTTCAAACCCTGACCTCATCAGAACTCACACTGTCTGGGTTCAAACCCTGACCTCATCAGAACTCACACTGTCTGAGTTCAAACCCTGACCTCATCAGAACTCACACTGGCTGGGTTCAAACCCTGACCTCATCAGAACTCACACTGGCTGGGTTCAAACCCTGACCTCATCAGAACTCACACTGTCTGGGTTCAAACCCTGACCTCATCAGAACTCACACTGCCTGGGTTCAAACTCTAACCTCATCATAACTCACACCACCTGGGTTCAAACTCTGACCTCACCAGAACTCACACTGCCTGAGTTCAAACTCTGACCTCATCAGAACTCACATTGCCTGGGTTCAAACTCTGACCTCATCAGAACTCACACTGCCTGAGTTCAAACTCTGACCTCATCAGAACTCACACTGCCTGAGTTCAAACTCTGACCTCATCACAACTCACACTGGCTGGGTTCAAACTCTGACCTCATCACAACTCACACTGTCTGGGTTCAAACCCTGACCTCATCACAACTCACACTGGCTGGGTTCAAACTCTGACCTCATCAGAACTCACACTGGCTGGGTTCAAACCCTGACCTCATCAGAACTTACACTGTCTGGGTTCAAACCCTGACCTCATCAGAACTCACACTGGCTGGGTTCAAACCCTGACCTCATCAGAACTCACACTGTCTGGGTTCAAACCCTGACCTCATCAGAACTCACACTGTCTGGGTTCAAACCCTGACCTCATCAGAACTCACACTGTCTGGGTTCAAACTCTGACCTCATCAGAGCTTACACTGCCTGGGTTCAAACCCTGACCACATCAGAACTCACACTGGCTTTGTTCAAACCCTGACCTCATCAGAACTCACACTGCCTAGGTTCAAACCCTGACCACATCAGAACTCACACTGTCTAGGTTCAAACTCTGACCTCATCATCACTTACACTGGGTTTCAAACCCTAACCTCACAGACAAAAATTATTATAATTTTTTACACTTCTTTACCCAGGAAAGCTTAATTGAGTCTAATGGCTCTATTTCAGCAAGGTCCTGCTAGGTTTTCACAGTTGGGGGCAATACTTACTTTGTATTGATTCAAAGATTGATTGTATTTGTTTACGTGGGTAAGAAACATTAAGCCTTTTAATGATATCGTCGGAACCCTAAGCCAGCAACTACTTTGGACCTGGATTTGAGTCATGGGTCGAAGTGTGTCTCCCTCTTTTAAGATGATGCACAATAGCACGTCACAGCACTTAGCCAGCGCCTTAAAGGATCAGAGTTTGAGCCCTGGATTTTCAGAAGGTTAATACTGGTAGGAACCCACTGGTTCCACCAGCCCACAGGGGATTATTGTGTCCGTCCGTCCGTCCGTCGTGCAGGGAGGGGCTGGGTGGGGAGGGGCTGGGTGGGGAGGGTGGGGCTGGGTGGGGAGGGCAGGGTGGGGAGGGGCTGGGTGGGGAGGGTGGGGCTGGGTGGGGAGGGGAGGGTGGGGAGGGGCTGGGTGGGGAGGGTGGGGCTGGGTGGGGGGTGGGAGGGGTGGTGCTGGGTGGGGAGGGGCTGGTCACCCCGTGGTGCCCTTATAAAACTCAACGTTTAACCTACTCACGCCGGCTTGTGCCCGCCCTCACAGCGAAATGCACCACGCTGCCGTTGACCCTGGCTACTGACCGAGCAACCCAACGTTCCTACCAGCTCCCTCCGCAGGAATGTGTTCTCTCAGGAAGTTCACAATCGCCATTTATTTGAGCACCATAACCACCGTCCAAGCACTGCAACTGGATGACTCTCTGAGGAGGTTCATAATGACCACGTCACGGCATGAAACTGCATTTCTGAGGTCCCGAACTCGGTCCACTGGATGGGGTCGCTCTGTTAGGGAGTCCACAATGGCCATTATTACAGGCCCTGGCTTAAAGCCCTCTCTATCTCGGTGCCTCTCATCGGCTCATAATGACCAATGTCGCAGCACCTCTTAGGTCGTGGATTGGAGTCTGGGGTTTTAGTCTCCCATCGCAGGCCCCCGTGTTGCACGGTCAGTCTGCTCACCTACGATTGCATGAACATTCAACTGTTGCACGCAATGTCCTGCTGCTGCTGCTGCAGTGGTTCACCGTGCTGCATTATGAGGTCAGCGACACTCAGTTCTCTCCGCGACCACGGCTAACATCAGTGGCAACTTAATCTAAAGGTCTGACCTCCACTCTCCACACCGCAGCCTTCAACCTGCCCTGAGCAGCGTGGTGAAGGAGGAGGTCTTGATTCAGCAGTCCATTGACAAAGGCCAAACAAATACTCTTGTATTATATGATGATTATTATTATGACATGTTACAGGTTGTTGCGGTGGTGATGGTGGTGGCAAGGATAGTGAGTGCTGTATGTATGTATGTTGAACTTCTTTCGCACCGTACATAGCCCAACCGTGCTAATCGTAGGCGAGTGGGAAGGACGGCAAACTAAACACAGAAAGCAGTTCTAAAGAAATTAGTTTTCAATTTAGATTTAAAAGTGCATAGCTCCAGTGGCTTCCTAACATCAGAATGCAAAAGCATTCCAGACGGCCGCGGGAGCGCATCTGAAAGCCTCTGTTGCGGTGACCGTCTTTGTTTCAATGGCTGGCCGAAAGCCACGGCAAGGATTGCCAGAGTTTACGCGATGGTTTGTGCTCCTTGACTAGATCAGCAAACCATCTTCTTGGTTCTTTCGGTAAAGTCACGTAGAATGGAAATAATAAAAGAATAAAATAAAACATAATAAAATAATTCTCACGACGTTTCGGCCACAACGCAAGCAGCCGTCCTCAGGTGAAGAACAGGTCTGTCGGAAAGACAGAGTCTGTGAAAGAACCAAGAAGATGATTCCCTGCAGTCACGAAAGCTTTAAATCGAAAGAGATCAGCAAAGCTATTCTGGTTGATTTGTGGCAAGCACTTTGTGTGTAGTGAGTGCGACCTTCTAATGCAGCTCAGCGAGCACTGGACGGATATGGTCGTATCTTCAGTTTTCAGTTTCAGTTTATTTGGTATAGCCCTGTGAGCCATTCGGCTCTTGAATCGGGTGCAACCGCAACAAACAAAAAAATAAAAACATGAACAAGAAAACATCTTAAAGTGACTATGCGCAAACAGAAAAATCCAGGAAAAAACTGCAAAGTCTTCCAGAAAAAAAAGCACCGTACACCAACGCTGTGTGAAAAAATCCCAGTGGTATGCAAGTCAAACAACAACAACCACAAGACAACTTAGATTAAAGCCATCAGTCTAACTCCGTACTACAACAGACAAAACATGGCCAAACCAAAACACTTTTCGAAATCACCAAAATAAATCCATAAAAGCAATGTAACAGTGATCATAGGAACTGTGACCGAATTTTCACAATAAACGACATAAACAACATGTACCACCAAACCCTGTAGCCATAGCTGGCTGCATGAGTCACTCCACAACAGCAGGAGCATCAGTAGGAGTATCAACATTTTTCAATGCACCTTTGAGATCAGCACACTAAATCAAAACACAAGATCATACTTTGCAGCGGTCATCCGGAGCGAAAACATTTGATTTTAGGCCACTGAATAGCAGAATCTGTCACGACACGTGCCAAATATTTTTGTGTACACGTTGCAGCTTGATGGTTGATGCACCTTGACTGATGCATGTGCGTGTGTGCAGGCCGGGAGATTTGACATCATCCCAACCATCATCAACCTCGTGGCAGCTCTCACTTCAGTTGGAGTAGTAAGTAGGCTCGCTCGCAACGCACTCTGATGCACTGCGACAAAACGCACCACATTACAATGCAGCGCGAGGTATCGTGCTAATATACAATTTGCTAAAATACAGCGCGGTTCATTGTATTGCCTCGTAACGCACTCCACTACGTTTACAGGGAATGTCAAAATAAGGAAATCCAATGCGCTGGTACGTAACAAAGGTCACTATGAAACAATGCGATGAATTACAATAATGCACTACACTGCACACTAACACAATGCTCATATACAATACAATATTCCGTCATATTATTTACGCGGCCTCAGCCAAAAATCTATTTTGAATCGATATAATATGCTCGACTACGTTATACGACGGCGGTCAATCCATTTATTCTCACGAATCACATCGGCTGATGATTTAATTTCTGATAGCAAATGTTCAAACTGACTCCCATTAAAATGTATGCATGCGTTCTCTTTTGAAATAAAAATAGGATTTATTTTTTTCAAGATTACAGGTGTAAACTTTTAATATTAATAAATTATGCTTCGTCTCCATTCATTCAGGGTGCTTGCTCGAGTTTTGTAAACGACAGATTTGTGGTGACCCCCACGGGAAGAAGACAAATGATAAATTAATGATCATAGATGAAATATTAATCTTGATTTGAAGCTTTCGTGACTGCAGGAATCCACACTCTTTGGTTCTTTCGGTAAAGTCACAATTGTAGGTGAACTACCCTAACCCTGAGACCTACATGTCTCCCATAACAACAAAAAAACAACCATAGATAAAAAATAAAATAAATCAAATCAATCACGACGTTTCGATCGCAACACAAGCGACCGTCATCAGGCGGAACCGAATAAACAATTAAATGTTTCCATGCTCGTGTTAGAATAAATGATATCGCCCTAAGCGTCCCGCGTTTCGGGCCACCCTGTACACGTGTGTGGAGTCGTAGTGGACTTCCCATTACCACCGTTGACTACGTACGGTCAAAAAGAAGTTAAATATATATACTGTACGTAGTATTGCACTTAGTGTGCTGCGCTACGAACCTGGCGACCCGAGTTCGATTCTCGCTCACGGCCAACGCCGGTGACGATTATTTGAACCGGTTCTGGGCCTTCGCCGCTAGGGAAACAAAGGTGGTCGGGCATGGTGCTGGCCACCCACCCCCTCGTGTGCCATGCCACCCCTACAGTCTGTTACTGGTAGGAACCTCCTGGTTACACCAGCCCACAGGGATTATTGTGTCCGTCCGTCCGTTGTGCATCCAAAAATGGGAGGGGTGGAGCTGGGTGGAGAGGGGCTGGGTGGGGAGGGGCTGGGTGGTGAGGGTGGGGAGGGGCTGGGTGGGGAGGGTGGAGAGGGGCTGGGTGGGGAGGGGCTGGGTGGGGAGGGGAGGGGTGGAGCTGGGTGGGGAGGGGCTGGTCACCCCGTGGTGCCCTTATAAAACTCAACGTTTAACTACTCACGCCGGCTTGTGCCCGCCCTCACAGTCGGCCATATTTGCGGAATACACCACGCCGCCGTTGACCCTGGCCATTGACCGAGCAACCCAACGTTGCTACCAGCTCCCTCCGCAGGAATGTGTTAAGGCTACAAGGGGATTTTTGTCTTCGTCAGGCATCCATCATCTGTGACTGGGTGCTTTTGAACATCATGCGTCAGCGCTCCGTCTACCGGCAGAGCAAGTTCGAGGAGGTGAGCGTGCAGCCAATCCCTTCCAGCCAGGTCTCTTCCGCTGTTTCTCCATCATTTTGGCATCAGATGAGGACAATTCCATTCAATCGCTGACCGTGAGCAGTGCATTACCTTGTGTTAGTGGCCACGTGGGATGGTGATGTCGTGGAACGGCATTCTCGTGTGTTTGTCACATGACAAAGTGACGCGTTGAATCGTCGGAGCTAGAATATGCCGAGTTAACCTTTTCCCGATCCGAGACATCTGAGTCTCAGAACGCGTTAATGTTATTTCTAGAGGCATAGAGCCGTTGTTTTCAAAGGCACTGTACTCACCGCTCGGAGAACTGCAGCGACACGACCGCACTGTGCGATAGCTGGCGCCAAACTATGCCACACGACCTCCCGCATGAACTTTTACTCACGATTCCATTCCGATGACGTACACGGACGTCATCGGCACCGGAATCGGAAGAAAAACTGTTAACGTACACGTGTCATCAGCATGGGAATGGGTTAACTGGCATCTCAAATGTTTTAGGGCGGTGATGTCGTCTCGCGGTAGCACGTTCACCGCCCCAATTAATACTGCGGGTGCAATAACCATCGTAACATTACGAGTTGTATGCTTCACTGTGAGCGTTAAATAACCCCTAACGTGATCCGCAAGAGGATAGGCCATTGTGTTCCAGCGTCAGGGTCCAAATTTGACAAATGCGTAAATTACCAGCAAATTAGTTAAGTTGTCACGGTGTTAGGGCGTGTATTTTTTTTCCTGTGTTTTTTTGTGTTTCAAAGCCCAATTTTAGTGAAAAATGCATGTATTGTAATTAATACATTCATACAGTATATAGTTTATACAGTACGGTATTGTAAAAATTGCTCTGTTTTGCTAAATTATCACCATTCTTTAAGACTCCTGGGTAGACTAGGCCATCTTCGACTTACGATATTTTCGACTTATGATGGGGTCGTCGTAACGCATCTCCATCGTAAGTCCGGGACTACCTGTACTTTACAAGATTAGACTTTCACTGTCGTATCGAATAGCTCGCTGACGTGTGTTTGTTATTGTTCTTCTTGGTTCTTTCGGTAAAGTCACGTAGAAGGGAAATCATGAAATAATAAAAAATAAAACATAATAAAATACAATTCTCACGACGTTTCGGCCACAACGCAAGCAGCCGTCCTCAGGTGAAGAACAGGTCTGTCCCAACATTTCTATTAGCACCCACACCTCTGCTTAAAACCCACAGACCTGTTCTTCACCTGAGGACGGCTGCTTGCGTTGTGGCCGAAACGTCGTGAGAATTATTTTATTATGCTTTATTTTTATTATTTCATTATTTCCCTTCTACATGACTTTACCGAAAGAACCAAGAAGATGAATCCCTGCAGTCACGAAAGCTTTAAATCGAAATTTGTTGTTGTTGTTCTTCAGCGCGAACAATTTGCCGAACGACGCTCGGCACGGCCCCGACAGAGATAACCTTTCAGAGAGCTGTGTGGTCACGCGTGTGTCTTGTGTTCAGGTCACCTCCTCCCAGCAGTGCAAATCCAGCATGGAGTTTTCACCGTCGCCCTCACAGACGGTCGCGGTCGCGAGGGTGAACGGCATCCCCAGCAGCTACCCCTCCTCTGACGACTCCATCCTGTGATCTGTCTCTCCACGACGCACCTCCAATTACCACCAGCCCATCCAATTAGCACCAGCACCTCCAATTAGCACCGACACCTCCAATTATTACCTCCACCTCCCATGAGCACCTCCACCTCCGATTAACACCCAGAATTCCTATTAGCACCAACACCTCTGCTTATAACCCACACCCTCACTTAACACGGGCGGCTACGTACGGTGCGAAAGAAGTTGAACATACATATGCATGCATTCTAGATTTGAAGTTTTCGTGACTGCAAGGGTCCATATTCTTTGTGTTTTTTTTTCGGTAAAGTCACGTAGTAAAAAAATAAATGAAAAAATAAAGAAAAGAAAGAATGTAAATGAATTAAATCATATTTTTATTTTTTACCTACGTGACTTTACCGAAAAAACCCAAAGAGTATATGCATACATGCGTACTCGCCCGAAACCCCCGCTTGGCTGAGACATCGGTCACGACACATTCTCGTGATCATTCGCCTTCTGCTAGAGCTACATCTCCAAGATGTTCTACCCCGAGTCCCGTTATATCTTGAGTGTTGAGGCTCAAGCAAGACACTGATGGTGAAACACGGTCTTCTGGACGCAAAGCTTACGATACTGATCTTGAGACAGAAGTTTTTAGAATTAAGTTTGAATTAAGACAGTGATCCTTAAACCTAGTCGTCTAGAGCTGGGTATTGAGAAACTAGTCTCCTCGAATGTTATTGCAGTATGTATGATGCTGGATGCAATTACCAGCGAAACGTCGTACTCAAAAATTGTAAATGTTGTGGTTTCACGCTTCAACACACCGGTGGGCTAAAGCAGTGAACTATTTGTCTTTTGTCAACGTGACACTTTTTTACTGATTGGCCGTGTCGGGTGGTGGAGGGTTACGACACATTTATAAATAACGCGATCTAAACCCAAAAACGTTGATAATTAATATTGGTCGCGATGGCCTACGTGTTAAACTGTATGTATGTATGTTGTACTTCTTTCGCACCGTATGTAGCCAACCATGCTCATCGGAACTGCAGTCAACAGTGATTCTGAAGCATGGTCGTTCAGAGCCAAGTTGAGACATAGTGAACCCGAGTTCTTCTAGGGTCATATCTTGAGAAATACATCTGGAGCAATGTCTCAATCAGTACGTCAGTCCTGATGACTATCTTTGAGCAAAGGTCAAATATGCTCCACCTGATGCCCCATACTCCTGGAGCAAAGTTCTGAGATGCTGATTCTGAAACTCATTGCCGAGTTACCATTGACATCGAACTCGAGGGAATGTGAGTTCACCTGAACTCGAGTTAAACTCAAATTGGTGACACAAAACGAGTGATGTGGCTCATGGAAATGCGGAATTAGTTGCCCAGCTCAAGGTTCTATGACACGAATCCTAAAACTTGCTGTCATGTTTCTGGATCTCAAGATTTTTAAATCTGAAACCTGACCTCCTGACATTGCCAGTTAATGTCATTTCAAACATACTCCCTGTAGGCCAGGGCTTTGTGGAGGTCCTCTACAAACCCCAAGATCAGACGGAGTAAATTTGGATGGGTACAGGGCGGGAATAGAGTGGATCAGGGTTTGAAAGATTGCATATGGATGAGAATGGATATGGGTTACGGACAGTAAATCCAGTTCATTGGAAGTGGGTCGAGTTTAAGATTATTCAAAGTGAGTGGAACCTCATTGAAATGGATTTTTATTATGCCGATGTAAATCCTGGTTATAGATTGTCATGAATAGATCTACTTTAGAGGAGAGTCTTGCTATTGTGCATGTGAATGTAACCTATTCAACTGTAATTAATAAACGTACCGTATATATGATTCGATGCATCTAATTTATTTAACAACGTAGGAGCTCATTGATATGATCATATGTATAGGGGAGGTCTGATTATCATGGTTTATGAAGAAACCACGATTATCTAGCCATGATATTGTGTGGCCCAAAATTCAGGACACATGGTTATTTTTATTTTAACATGTTCAAACTGACTCACATTAACATTAATGCACGCATTAATTGTCCTTTTTTAAATGAATGTAGGACTTTATTAAGACTACGGGTGTGATTTTGAACATTCATCAATTATGTTTCGTCTCAATTCATTCAGGGTTCTTGCTCAAGTTGCATTAACGACAGATTTGAGGTGACCCTACAGGAAGAAGAAAAATACGTATTAATCATAAATATTAACCTAAAGAATCAACACTTAATGCCAGTGTTGAAATTAATTAAATGACCCTATGAGTCTTGCTTTTCCAGTCACCCTGTACACGTGTGTGGAGTGGTAGTGGACTTGTTATTTTACATTGCCAGATTCATACATAATGATTCACCATTAGCTGTCATGTACGATATAATTTCATACTCTTTGGTTTTTTCGGTAAAGTCAGGTAGGTGAAAACTAAATAAAATAAAATTAAAACAACTAAATTTTATTTTTTATTTATTTTTTTATTTTATTTTCACCCACGTGACTTTACCGTAAAAACCTAAGACTATGGATCCTTGCAGTCACGAAAACTTCAAATCTAGATATAATGTCACACATTTAATAAATCGCCTGGGACATTTAAACATACCCCAGAGGTCCGTGTACCCCTCGTTGAGAACCACTGCTCTAAACCATACATTCCTGTTGCGATGTAATTCCCAACATTAACACCCTCCCAGTAAATATCTGCAAACTGTGCAGCTTTTGTTCAATTTCCTATGTCAGGAATCTATGTGTAATGAGAGAGCACACCGACATACGGAGGGCTGCATAGGCATTGCCGCATCGGTCATGGCCAATCAGGGCTACGGGTTCGATCTGGGCCAAAGTTCACGGACGGAGCTCAGGGGTACATGCGGGAACCATCGAGATGGTTTTGAAGGGGGCGTAGTTAGAGGCGGGGCTTCGCTCCGCCAAGGAGGATATAAGGAGAGGCAGGAAGAGGACTTGGGGTTCGGTGTGGAAGCCTGGGTCCGGACTGCATCTCCGCCATTTTGTCAGCCAGCGACCACGTGGTAGCCTCGAGGGCCGAAGCTCTCCCGATTCTTGGCGAGCCGTCGACCAGCGGTGCGCAGGGTCGCGTCGAGGGAAGCCGTGCGGGAACGGAGGAGCAGAGAGCGCGTGCATGCGGCGAGAGAGGGAGAGAGGGTGACCACCTAAAGAGAGTGCGGAGCCAATCAGTCATCTCCATATCTATATAAGGCAAAGATTGTGATTATGTGTGTCTGTTCAAAATGTTTAGCGTACTTCCCGACATGCAACAAACTGGAAATTTGCCATGTGGGTACTTTCCAGACTGTACACCATGCAAACATTATAAAAATGCACTTTTATTTTTTTTGGGGGGGGGGGGGGAGCTCAATATTGCATACATTTTTTGCACGGCAAGTGAGCTGTGACGTCAAATCTGTCACGTGACCCGCGCACGTGGAAGCGTAACGCATTGTAGTGTCGTGGTTAGCGCACCGCGCTACGAACCCGGCGACCCGAGTTCGATTCCCGCTCACGGCCACCTCCGGTGACGATTATTTCAACCGGTCCTGGGCCTCTCAAACGAATAACTGGTGTGTTGTGTGGGAACATCGCCACTGGGGAGACAAAGGCGTCCGGGCGTGGTGAATCCAAGTCCCGGGCGAAGCCGGGTAGTTACAGCTAGTAACTAATAAAGAAAGGACGCAAGTCTCAAACGTGTGGTGGAAGTCGTTTATTACACACGTGTGTCACAGCAGGTAATATAGCACAGATCGAAAAAACTACATAGTTTAGGCACATTACTCCGTTGCTTTTCACTCTGAAACGTACGCATGTTTGTATGTTGAACTTCTTTCGCACCGTACGTAGCCAACCCGTGCTAATCAGGGGTGCGAATGCGATTTTACAATAGCTCTCCTACCCAGTGTAAACATGCAACGTTGGACGAACGGTTGCCATGTGGTTGTAACCGTTGGTCCAACGTTGACCCAATGTGTTTATTTCTTCGCCAGTTTACCAAGTCAAATGGTATGGGGGTTTGCCTTAAAACAAGTTAAAGATATCGGAGACAGTGAATCGATTGTCTAAGAGACGCAACTCGAAACTCAACTAAGAGATGGAACTCGAGTGGAATTGCGGGGATTAGAGGGAAAATGGCTCTGCTTTAGATGAATGTATGAATCAAAGTGAATCGAGATTCACGTAAATTGATCTAGGTTCGCGATCGTAGATCAGTATTGCAGAAGTGGGTCTTGGTTAGAGTCGATACAGATTGTGGAGAGCAGAGAGAGGATCTGAATTTGGGAACTGGCCATCGATTCCGAGATCCTTTGTATCTCTCTGGATCCGAATTAAAAGTGCGGATCTGCATCACAGAGATTCAATCTAAATTATAAGGAATGGACCATAATTAGATGGATATAAACCGGCAACCATTGTCATTAATTGGAGTAGGTCATTAAACTGTTTAAACTAAGCTAAACTGTTTATTTTTATTTTACTGGGTAAGGTCCACTGAACTATATAGCTATTTTTCAGAAGCGACCTGGCCACAAATAATAGCTCAACGAAGTGGCTTATCACGTGGACATGTATATCAGACCAAATACTGGAAACGCATGTTTCTAAATGTGGTGGGTAAAACCCGAGGATCCAGAGAAGAATCCACGCAAGCACGGGGAGAGAGACATGCAAACTCTAAAAATACAGGAACCAGGGTCGGGATCGAACCCACGATCTCCTGTATACCAGGCGAGGTAGTGCTCTGGTGGGTCCAGAGCACGTGACTCACAATCGTAAGTTCGTGAATTCAAATGCTGGTTTTGGTGTTGACTCAGACTTTTGTCCTACAAAAGGTCGACAACACGAGTACCACTTTGTGGGAAATCAACTTTGGTTGTTCTGGAGGGGAGAGATTGGCACACGCCACGAAAAAGTAGCATTTTCACCGCTGGCTTAAGGGTCACCAACAGAGACAGATGCCACCCGGTTACCTGATTAAACAGAGAGACGCTTTAAGTTGTACTGGTAGGAACCACCTGGTTCCACCAGCCCACAGGGCATTATTGTGTCCGTCCGTCCGTCGTGCATCCAAAAATGGGAGGGGTGGGGCTGGGTGGGGAGGGTGAGGAGGGGCTGGGTGGGGAGGGCTGGGTGGGGGGTGGGGCTGGGTGGAGAGGGGCTGGTCACCCCGTGGTGCCCTTATAAAACTCAACGTTTAATCTACTCACGCCGGCTTGTGCCCGCCCTCACAGTCGGCCATATTTACGGAATACACCACGCCCTGGCCGTTGACCCTGGCCATTGACCGAGCAACCCAACGTTCCTACCAGCTACCTCCGCAGGAATGTGTTATTGGACCCCGACCAGATACATTCCCAATGTAAACTCGCCTAAGGGCTCTGAGTGCTGCCCTACAAAGATAAACCAATAGAGTAGATGAATGAAGATCGATTGAGTGAGTGAGACACACATTTGTCCCCAGTATCTGGTGCCCAGAATCAATGTTGATCTCGTCAAGGAGCATAAACCATTTGTAGATTTTAAGCTTTCGTGACTGCAAGGATTCATATTCTTAGGTTTTTTTTCGGTAAAGTCACGTAGGTAAAAAAATAAAAATTAATAAAAGTTAAATAAAAATAAAATAAAAATCACGACGTTTCGGAGGCAACACAAGCTTCCGTCTTCAGGTGGAACCGTCACAGCACGATTAATTTTATTTTTTTACCTACGTGACTTTACCGAAAAAACCTAAGAATAAGCATAAACCATCATGTGAACTTCCTCCGGCCATCCTCGCAGCAGCTGTTTTGGCTACCCATCGAACAAAGACGGTCACTGCATCGCGCGCTTTCAGATGTGCTTCTGCGGCCGTCTGGAATGCTCTTCCTTCCGATATGCACTTCCAAATCTAGATTGAAAACGCATTTCTTTAGAGCTGCTTTTGTGTTTAGTTTTGTTATTCTTAGGTTTTTTCGGTAAAGTCACGTAGGTAAAAATAAATAAATTTAAATTAATAAAAGTTAAATAAAATAAAAATCACGACGTTTCGGAGGCAACACGATGATATATACTGGTATATATATACGGGGTAGTATATCTTGGAATCTCTCATTTACTTCATACAGCAAGCGTGCTGTGACGGTTCCACCTGAAGACGGAAGCTTGTGTTGCCTCCGAAACGTCGTGATTTTTATTTCATTCTTATTTTATTTTACTTTTATTAATTTAAATTTGTTTTACCTACGTGACTTTACCGAAAAAACCTAAAAATATGAATCCTTGCAGTCACGAAACCTTCCATTCTAGAAAATAACACTTCGTACCCAGGAATAAAAATCGTGTTACAAATTGTCATTATTCGAACAGTGAACAGCAGAGGGCGCGCTTGAGCCACACGCATTGCTGCACTGCACCGTGACTTTACCGAAAAAAACCTAAGAATATGAATCCTTGCAGTCACGAAAGCTTCAAATCTAGAAGTTTAGTTTCTTGTTTTTCCCCCGCACCTTCTATTAGCACGGTTGGCTACGTACGGTGCGAAAGAAGTTCAGCAGACAGTAGTCAACGACTGCCAACTCCTGTGTAGCTACACCTGTCCTGACAAACGTGTGTGCGCTTGGTGTCATGTTCCTTCACAATGCTTCATCAAGTGCTTACCGAGCATTAATTACAAAGTAATTTATGCTGCTCGCATTGAGATATGCCTTGGGCTGGGGTTAATGGGCAAACATAAGGTTGTATGTGTGATTGGCGGTAGGGAATATTGAATTTGGGCAACCGATACTGGGCACACGTGCATGTCTGTATGTTGAACTTTTTTTGCACCATACGGAGCCAACCGTGCTCATCAGAGGCGCGGGGGAAGAACAAACTAAAGGGGCCGTCCATAAATGACGTCACGTACCTATAGGGGGGGTCAGACATTTGTGACGATGTGTGATGAGAGGAGGGGGGGGGGGTGCGAAATGTGACGTCACATCAAAATGCGCAACTTTAAGTAAATATAGACAACACGTTCTACTTAATTAAATTGACTTTTTAATAAATGTTTTCTCTTGCAACATCAGAGTGCAGCGCCGCATTAAATACGCACTACAATGACAATAGTCATTGTAGTGACAGACCTGTTCTCCACCTGAAGACGGCTGCTTGCGTTGTGGCCGAAACGTCGTGAGAATTATTTTATTGTGTTTTATTTTTATTATTTTATGATTTCCTTCTACGTGACTTTACCGAAAGAACCAAGAAGAAAAATAAAACATAATAAAATAATTAAATGATATATTTTTCATTTTATTATTTCCAGTCTACGTGACTTTACCGAAAGAACCAAGAAAATGAATCCCTGCAGTCACGAAAGCTTTAAATCGAAACACAATCTAGGAGTCAACACGAGGACCAAGATCGCAATACTTGAGCGAGCGCAGAGGGGGCCATGGTGGAACAGACAGGGCCTGGCAGGAGCGTCACCAGCGTGGGGCCAGGAGGTGCTTTGGCCTCCCCTGGTGGCCAAAGCTACGAGTTGGCCCTCCCTTGACAACCACCATGAGATCTGTTTTCAACAAAGTGTAAACGAACACAAACGTCATCATTAGAACACCTTTGCCAGTTCTAGATTTGAAGCTTTCGTGACTGCAAGGATTCATACTCTTAGTTCTTTCGGTAAAGTCACGTAGGTAAAAAATGAAATTAAAATTAATAACAAATAAAATAATCTTGATGCAGCAAATCTGGCTGTGACGGTCCCACCTGATGACGGAGACTTGTGTTGCCTCCGAAACGTCGTGATTTTTATTATTTTATTTTTTTATCAATTTTAATTTCATTTTTTACCTACGTGACTTTACCGAAAGAACTAAGAGTATTAACCTTTGCCAGTACCAAAATATAATAATAGGGGTTTTCCCCTTTTTTTCCCCCACTTTTTTTGTCTTTGAGCTGTACGCCTTTTGGTGTCCTCTGGTCTAGCACCGATTGAGACGAGGCTCAAAAGAAAGCCGTCTCTGGTGTGGACCAATCAGTTTCAAGGACAATGCCAATATAATATCAGAGTGTGTTTTTTGTTTGCATTTTGACCACAAGTATTGTGGTTAATGCAGTAACATGATTCCTTGTAAAAAGGTTTCAGTTTTGTGCCAGAAAAAGGGGGAAAACCCTATTACTATAATTTGAACACAAACTTATTTAAAACGGGGTTTAAATATTTTTCTTACGAAAATGCATTCATGTACGTTACAGCTTTTATTTTAATTCAATAAGAGCGGTCACGAAAAAAATGCAAAGACGTAACTACGGAAGTGTAAAATTTCGATTTAAAGCTTTCGTGACTGCAGGGATTCATCTTCTTGGTTCTTTCGGTAAAGTGACGTAGAATGGAAATGATAAAATAATAAAAATAAAACATAATAAAATAATTCTCACTACGTTTCAGCCACAACGCAAGCAGCCGTCCTCAGGTGGAGAACAGGTCTGTCGAGAAGACAGGGTCTGAAACGGAAGTGTAGTGGCAGCATTTTACGAATAGGGAACGCCGTTCTAGCGGTAAATGTTCCAGACCGTGAGCGTAACGTTGATGTGATTATATTATATTTTTGCTTCTTTCGGTAAAGTCACGTAGAAGGGAAATAATAAAATGATAAAAATATAAAACAATAAAATGCTCACGACGTTTCGACTGCAACACAAGCAATCGTCATCAGGTGTGAAATCCACAGGAAGACATTTTGAAAAAATGGGCGTTTTTTTTGTTAACGTCAGCACCACGGACAGCGATTTGGAAGTTGTTCAGATGGACGAGTCCATCTATGTTTGGAAAAGAGGAGGGGGGTGAATAAGAGAATGGAATGCGGTCTGAAAGTCACCGTAAGCGTGAACACAATCAATTAAGACCCGAAATGGTTGATCAAATCCTTCCAACGATTGCTAAGCCAGAATCCATCTTCTCGGTTAAAATTGTCTCTGTGTTTGTATATGTGTTATTTCCCTAATTGCTTATGCCTCAAACGTACAGAAAAATTGCTATTATTCCCCACAAACTTTGATTTTGTGACCAAGACGGTGTTAAATTTCGACTTGAAACTTTCGTGACTGCAGGGATTCATCTTCTTGGTTCTTTCGGTAAAGTCACGTAGACGCGAAATAATAAAATAATAAAAATAAAACATGATAAAATCATTCTCACGACGTTTCGGCCACAACGCAAGCAGCCGTCCTCAGGTGGCCGAAACGCAAGCAGCCGTCCTCAGGTGAAAAACAGGTCGACAGACCTGTTTTTCACCTGAGGACGGCTGCTTGCGTTGTGGCCGAAACGTCGTGAGAATTATTTTATTATGTTTTATTTTTTATTATTTCCCTTCTACGTGACTTTACCGAAAGAACCAAGAAGAGGACGGTGATATTTAGAAATAAAGCTATTTTCAATGAGAAAACGTGGTGTGCATTTGTGTCAATCCTTCACGTAAAGTCCCGGTCACAAAAGCAAAGTTTGTGGGGGAAAATAGACATTTTCTATACTTTTGAGGCATAATCAATTAGAAAATAACACTTAGTACCCAGGAATAAAAATCGTGTTACAAATTGTCATTAATCGAACCGTGAACAGCAGAGGGCGCTGGAGCCACACGCATTGCTGCACTCCACCGTGACCAGGGCGGTGAAGTATGGTCAAACAACAACAGCCGCTGTGTGATCCATTCATTACAGACGGACGACCCAGGACCCCCACCACCCCCCACGGCCATAGGGACGTTCTGAAACACCGTCACCGTCGATTAGTGCGTGACGTAATCCTAGCCAGAGCGATGACGTCATTATATCCGTAGAGTTGGGCGTTGGCTCGCGCTCACCCTGGAGTGACGTCATGTCGCTTTTTTTTTAAGCGCGAGAGGTGGCGTGCTTCCCGGAAATGACGTCACGGAGCCCCGAGTCAGGGGCAGGAAATAACCGCGGGGGGGTGAGGGAGAAGAATCGATTTCGATTACAAAACAAATCGATTACTACGCTCGATTTAACGTACATCGAATCACGTATTCGCTTGCTTTCGATTAATCTACGCCGTGATTGATCCCGTACCTGGGAGACTCTCTAACGAAGCGTTGAGTTGCCACGTACCAACAAGCGTACGCACACAAAACAGCAACAGCGGCCGTGGAATCGATCTGCGCGCACGGAATCGATATCGTGGAATCGAAGATAGAGACCTGACCCGTGACGTCACGGAAAGACGCGGAAGTGAAGAGGTGGGGAAGTGGCCAAGCAGCAGCCGACATTCGTACAGCGTCTCGTCTCTTCCTCCTCCTCCTCGTCTCTTCCTTCTCTTCCTCGTCTCCTCCATCTCCTCCATCTCCTCGTCGTCGTCCTCGTCTCGCCCCCTTTGCCGTCGTCATCATGCCGGTGAGACGTGGAGCCCAAAAGATGGAGCGCCGTCTCTGGGTCGCGGGGTGACGGCGGTGATCGACGCTGCCACGCCCCGGGCCCCGCCACTTGGCAGAAGGGGGGGGGCAGCCGTGGGGAGCGTGCAGGGAGCCCTAAGGGGGGGGGGAGCATGGGGAAAGCCTGACGACGTCTGGGTTAGACATGTAGGGAGACGAGTGTTTGTATGTTGGACCTGGGTTTTACACGGCATGTCGGAGATGGGAGGTGGTGGTGGGGGGGAAGATTGGCACGCAAAGCGGAAAAGCAGAGGGAAGCTACGGGACGTGAGAAACGCGCAGAGGAGGGACGCGAGGGAGCGTATGGGGAGCGCAGGTTGAGTGCAGGGAAGGTTTCGAGGGAGCGTGGAGAGATCTAGGCCAAGCATGGGGGAGTAGAGGGATGCATAGTGGGCGCATGGGTAGGCATAGAGGGAGTCATCAATCATCATCAGGATCCATGGGCCGGTAGATATCCCACTGCACATTTAGTAATTAGTTTCCACTTTCTTATGCATTGTGCCAATATGTATATTCTTGGTTCGTTCGGTAAAGTCACGTAGAAGTGAAATAATAAAACAATAAAAATAAAACAATAAACATTCTGACCATTTGTGAGAATTTGAATAAAAATTCTCACTATTTGTGAGAATTTTAATAAAATATCTCACTATTTGTGAGAATTTTTATTATGTTTTTTATTGTATTATTTCCCTTCTACGTGACTTTACCGAAAGAACCAACAATTTGAATCCCTGCAGTCACGAAAGCTTTAAATCGAAATTGTGCCAATATGGTCAAGTAGTGCCACATCTCTCTGGCACCAATCTCTAGGGGGGGGGGGGGGGGGAGTATTGCTGCGCAAAGAGGGGGTATGGGGAGGCACGGGGGAGCATTGACGAATGCATGGGGCATAGAGGAAGCATTGAGGAAAACAACACTTTTAATTCTACCAGGTAGGACCCACTGAAGCTACATAAGTTATATTTATTACACGCTTTTTATTAACTCTGTCTGTTGTGGTTATATCATCAAATCTTGTAACTCAATTTTAACCCACTTCCAAATGTGGTATCCACTGCAAACTTGGTATACTTATGTCATACTGACGACAATACCATATTCTATCATAAAAATAAATTTAACGATATTTTTACACGTTTTCTATGAAATCACTCTGTCTGTTGTTGTTGTATCCTCAAATCTTGTAACTCAATTTTAACCCACTTCCCATTGTGGTATCGACTGCAAACCTGGTATACTTATGTCATACTAATGACAATACTATGTTCTCTTAAAAAAAAAAGTATTTAAAAACATTTTTACATGTTATGTTTCGGCTTGGGTCTAATTGTCCACGCTCAACTGACGTTGGCTGTAAATCACCACGGCCCCCTTACGTTATGGCAAGCCTCGGGGCCACTTGCTGGAGTCGTGGAGTTCTGCCATTACGAGTAGTGTACATTTCATTAAAGCGTGTTTTACTGGTAGGAACGAAGTGAACCAGCCTACAATAGATTATATCGTCCGTCTGTCCGATGTCCGATTAGGTGTAGCAACATCGCCCCCTACTGCAAACACTTGGCAGGACCCTACACAAACCTTTAGACTCAGTGAGGCTTTCCTGGCTAAACAAGTGTAACATTCCCTTGTAATTCCCTGAGATAGTTTTTAATTAAAACATTTAAATTAAAAATTAACTGACAGCGGTCTAAAGCCTAGAACTAGGCCTCAAACTCTCCCTTCGTATCGTACCCCCGCCATTTCATTTTATTATAGCCATTCATTTGTTCGTTCCTACCAGCCCACCCCGCAGGGACCTGTTTAAAAAAGTTGTTTAAATATTACTTATTTAACAAGCGACCTGGCCACAAATGATAGCCCAATGAAATGGCTTATCACGTGGAAATTGATAGCAGCCCAATACTCAAAACGCGTGATGTTGATTCTAAATATGGATGGAAAAAACCAGAGGACTCTTGAGAAAAATGTACGCGACCGCGGGGAGAGAGACACCGCAAACTCCAATTATACAGCAGCAGGCGTCGTCAGGGTCGGGAGTGTGCCCTGTATGTGTGTGTGTGGACGTGTTGGTGGAGGTTTAGGCATCTTTTCACGCGAATGCGGTGTTTGTGATGGTACACATGCTTGTGTGTTGTGGGGAGCGGTAATGTAGTGCTTTGCACACTGCGCTACAAACTCCGCGCGGCCGGAATTCAGGACCAACAGACAGTGGCGAATATTTGAACCGCTCCAGGGCCTCCCCTAGGTCGACCCGTCCTCAAATGAGTATCCAGTGCGGTGTGTAAACATTGCCACTTGAGAGACAAAGACGGCCGGGCGTTGTGCGGACCACCCAACTCCTCGTGGGTGGTCAGCACAATGCTCGCTAACAGCACTTGTCCCAAAAGTATGTTAATGCTAAAATAATAAAAATAAAACATAATTAAACAATTCTCACGACGTTTCGGCCACAACGCAAGCAGCCGTCCTCAGGTGAAAACCAGGTCTGTCGAGGCAACAGCGTCTGAATGAAACAGCACACGTGCTTGGAGCATATATATATAAGCTGGGTTGGAAGGGGGGGGAAGAGCGCCTCGACAAATTAATATGCATATCAAGAGGCATTTAGCATATTTATGGGAAATGCAGGTATGTGATTCAGACGCTGTCGCCTCGACAGACCTGGTATTCACCTGAGGACGGCTGCTTGCGTTGTGGCCGAAACGTCGTGAGAATTGTTTTATTATGTTTTATTTTTATTATTTTATTACTTCCCTTCTACGTGACTTTACCGAAAGAACCAAGAAGATCAATCCCTGCAGTCACGAAAGCTTTAAATCGAAATTTATGTTAATGCTGTACGGGGGATCTTTGTATTTTCGTATTCTCTATGGGGAGCGGTTGTGTTGTGTTTATCGCGCTGCGCTACGAACCCGGCGACCCGAGTAAGAGTCCTGCTCACGGCCAACATCGGTGGCGATTTTAGTCGCTTGCTAACTAACATCTTTGTGTGCTGTGTGCTCAGGCCTACCACTCGAGCCTGCAGGAGTCCGATAACCGGATGGTGGGGAACATGGCTTTACTGCCGCTGAAGACCCAGTTCAAGGGTCCTGCTCCCAGAGAAAGTGAGTTTTTGAGATCCGGGCATTTGTGTGGCACCGGGAGGTCGGTGATCATGGGGAAGATTTGAAGCCGGATCGTAGTGGTGCTGATGACGCCACAGCGGCTCATTGGAGGTTTGATATTGACTTGTATGTGTACGTGATTCTGTGTGTGTTTTGCGTGTGGTACTCAGCTAGGGAAATGGACATCATTGATGAAGCCATCATGTACTTCAAGGCGAATGTGTTTTTCAAGAACTACGAGATCAAGGTGATACGTCCACCACATTTGCCATCACCATCCTCACCTGCATCACTATCACCATCAGTGGCATCGCCATCGACCCCATCACCATCTACATCCCCATCATCCCAACCTTTATCGCCATAACCAGTTTATATGTCCACATCAACTCAATCAGCATCTATTGTAAAACACATTCCTGCGGAGGGAGCTGGTAGGAACGTTGGGTTGCTCGGTCAATGGCCAGGGTCAATGGCGGCGTGGTGTATTCCGCAAATATGCCCGATTGCGAGGGCGGGCACAAGCCGGCGTGAGTAGGTCAAACGTTGAGTTTTATAAGGGCACCACAGGGTGACCAGCCCCTCCCCACCCAGCCCCTCCCCACCCTCCCCACCCAGCCCCTCCCCACCCTCCTCTCCCCACCCTCCCCTCCCCTCCCTCCCCTCCCTCCACACCCAGCCCCTCCCTGCACAACGGACTGACAGAATAATCCCCTGTGGGATGGTGCAACCAGTAGGTTCCTACCAGTAATCTATCGCATCTGCGGCTGGATTGTATGTGTGTGCGTGTTCAGATTCGGAGGGATGGGTGGTGTAGTGGTTAGTGCGCCGTACTACAAACCTGGAAACCCGAATTCGATTCCCGCTCCTGGCCAACACAGTGACGATTATATGAACTGGTCATGGGCCTCCCATAGGTCGACTCGGCCTTAAATGAGTTTCTAGTGCGATGTGTAAATGTCGCCTCAAAGGGAGATCAAGGCGGCCGGGCGTGGTGCTGGCCACCAACCCCTTCGTGTGCCGTACTGGCCTTCACAGGTGCCCGCTAACAGCACTTGCTGCAACAGTCTGTTAAGGCTGTACGGGGGATCTTTGTTTTTGTGTGCGTTTTCAGAATGAGGCAGACCGCACTCTGATCTACGTGACTCTTTACATCACCGAGTGCCTCAAGAAACTGCAGAAGGTGCGTGATGGTGATGGTGATGTTGGTGATGATGATGTTGGTAGTGGTGAAGATGTTGATAGTTTGTTAATGTTGGCTTCGTTGATGGGATGTTGGTGTTGATGGTGGTGATGTAGCGATTGGTGCGCTGCGCTGCGAACCCGATGACCCAGGTTCGATTCCCGCTTATGGCCAACACCAGTGACGATTATTGGAACCGGTCCTGGGTGTCCCTTAGGTTGACTCGGCCTCAAATGAGTACCTGGTGTATGTAGATATCACCACGGGGGAGACAAAGGCGGCCGGGAGTGGTTTTTACAAGCTACCCCCTCGTGTGCCGTGCCGGCCTTCATAGGTGTCCGTTAGCAGCACCTTCCCGAACAATCTGTTAAAGGCTATGCGCGGGATGTTTCGTGTTGCTGATAATGATGACGACGATGCTTATGGAGTGGAAGTTGATAGAGTTGATGTGATATTAGTAGCGATATCAGATTACAGTAAAACCTTGGATTGCGAGTAACTTGGTCTGCGAGTGTTTTGCAAGACGAGCACATTTTTTTAAATGAATATTAATTTGCTAAACGAGCGAGGTCTTGCAATACGAGCAGTACGTGTATACGCTTTTTCTGCCGAGCGTCACGTGATCACAACTGATGTACGAGTGCTTTGGATTACAAACAGGTTTCCGTAACGAATTATGCTCGCAATCCAAGGTTTTACTGTATTACCATTGAGGTGATGTTGGTGGTGACGGCGTTCACAGTCTTGATACTGATGACGTTCGCGTTGATCCCGTTGATGTCTGGTCGCCAATCGGTGTTGCTGTGCTGTTATTATTTGTATTGGTCTTGATGTTGGCCACTGACGGTGTTGATGGTGTTGATGGCGTTGGTGCAGTGCACGTCCAAGGGCCAGGGAGAGAAGGAGATGTACTCCCTGGGCATCACGAACTTCCCCATCCCCGGAGAAGGCGGCTTTCCCCTCAACGCCATGTACGCCAAGCCCAGCGGGCGCGCCGAGGAGGGTGAGGCAACGCCCGCGCGGCCGCACTACCAGCCGACAACCCCCCGCGCTGCGCAACGACTTGGGGCGCGTTGTCACGGCACGATGCCGGGGAACTCAGCGTGGCAGGGCGGCTTGACACGGTGTTATGACGCCACGTGGCAACGCGATGCCACGCAACACACTGACATGTGACGTAACATACTGACATGTAACGTAACACATCGTAGCGTCAGGACAGGACGCCACGGAACGCAGCGTGGGGCGCCGCGGTGACGAGATGTTAGCTCCTTCGCCTGGTACGCAGTAGGTCGTGGGTTTGGTCCCATCCTTGACGCCTGTATATTTGGAATTTGCGTGCTCTCCCTGTGGGTCCCTCCGGTTTTGCCCTCCACATTCAAAAACATGTGCTGAGAACACATTCCTGCGGAGGGAGCTGGTAGGAACGTTGGGTTGCTCGGTCAATGGCCAGGGTCAACGGTGGCATGATGTATTCCGCAAATATGCCCGACTGTGAGGGCGGGCACAAGCCGGCGTGAGTAGGTTAAACGTTGAGTTTTATAAGGGCACCACGGGGTGACCAGCCCCTCCCCAGCCAGCCCCACCCCTCCCACCCCCTACCCTCCCCACCCAGCCCCTCCCCACCCTCCCTCCCCACCCAGCCCCTCCCCACCCTCCCCACCCAGCCCCTCTCCACCCTCCCCTCCCCACCCTCCCCACCCTCCCCTCCCCACCCAGCCCCTCCCCACCCTCCCCTCTCCACCCAGCCCCACCCCTCCCATTTTTGGATGCACGACGGACGGACGGACACAATAATCCCCTGTGGGCTGGTGGAACCAGGAGGTTTCTACCAGTAAAATAGTTTAGTTCTATTTCAGGATGACGTAGCATAATGCGGCAACACGGTGTTATGACGCTACCAGCATTGCGGGGCGCTGCCTCACTGCCCTCTGCGAGTCGCAAAGCAATAGAAACCGAGTGAATACCGGTGAGCAGTATGCCACAGCGCCCGGTTTGGATGTAGTAAAGAGAGAGAGAGAGAATTGGCATTGCCAACAGGCAACAAACACCTACCGATTGGCACAGTTGGCTGCGTACGGCGCGAAAGAAGTTCAGCGTAGGTGACGACGCAGCGGCACGACAACAACACAACACGACGCGCCGTGGTACAGGGCGACACGGATGCGCGACGTGTTCGGCTGAAGTTAAACGCTTCCGCTTGTGCCGCGTGCACTGGTGTTGAATGTGTGATCAGTACTCCTGTAGAAGTGTTGAGGGGTTACTTGTGTGTGCCGTTTACTGCACGCTGCGCTTGCTGTGTGTGCTGTGTAGAGAAGCGTTATCCGTGTGCTGCAGTTCATACAGACTGCGTGTGCTGCTGTGTTTGTAAAGACGATGAGAGGTTACCTGCGTGCTGTGTGTGGAGATGTTGAGGGGTTACCTGTGTAATGTGCGTAGAGATTGAGGTTACCTGTGTAATGTGTGTAGAGATTGAGGTTACCTGCGTGCTGGGTGTAGAGATGATGAGAGGTTACCTGTGTGCTCTGTAGAGATGATGAGGGGCTACCTGCAGCAGCTGAGGCAGGAGACGGGGCTGCGTTTGTGTGAGCGCGTGTTTGACCCGGCCACGGACAAACCCAGCAAGGTAAGATCATGCACAGTACATGCACACTCACAGTGTGCGCACATGCACAGAGCATAGCAAACAAAAAAAAACACAAAGATTCCTCTCGTATAGCTTGTAACAGGCTGTTGGATCGGCGAGTGCTGTTAGTGAGCGGCGCCCTCTGAAGGACGGCATAACACACGAGTGGCCAGCACCACGCCCGACCGCACAGAGTATACGCACCGGCACACACACAGATACACAAAAATGCAGGGAAACTGTTGTGGTGAAATGGTGAGCACCGTTGACTTGAAATCCACAGTTAGCAAGTTCGATTTCATCTCCTGGCACGGCAGTTGAAGCAAGGAGCAAGTTGCATAAATTCCTCCCCCGCCCCCCCATTCACTGCGTGTTACTGGTAGGAACCTCCTGGTTACACCAGCCCACAGGGGATTATTGTGTCCGTCCGTCCGTCGTGCAGGGAGGTGCTGGGTGTGGAGGGTGGGGAGGGTTGGGCTGGGTGGGGGGGTGGGAGGGGTGGGGCTGGGTGGGGAGGGTGGGGCTGGGTGGGGAGGAGCTGGATGGGGAGGGTGGGGCTGGGTGGGGAGGGTGGGACTGGGTGGGGAGTGGAGGGTGGGGAGGGGCTGGGTGGGGAGGGGCTGGGTGGCGAGGGTGGGGAGGGGCTGGGTGGCGAGGGTGGGGAGGGGCTGGGTGGGGAGGGGCTGGGTGGGGAGGGTGGGGCTGGGTGGGTGGGGAGGGGCTGGTCACCCCGTGATGTCCTTATAAAACTCAACGTTTAATCTACTCACGCCGGCTTCTGCCCGCCCTCACAGTCGGGCATATTTGCGGAATACACCACGCCGCCGTTGACCCTGGCCATTGACCGAGCAACCCAACGTTCCTACCAGCTCCCTCCGCAGGAATGTGTTTGCCCAGCAGTATAAATGGGTACTCCACACTCGGTCGATCGGCAGGTCGCGTATGGTGGGGTCAAGTGTGTGTAGTCCCACCTCTTACGAAATGTCTGTGCAGTCTGGAAGAGTGGGACAGTATACCTCCTGGAGGGCCTCTCTGGAGGTCCCGCTAGTGGAGAACCTTCACCCTGCAGTGAGCGTGAGCACACAATTGCAGGGTTGCCTCTTTACCTTTTAAAACACACGTAAACCGCTCATTCATGAACGTGTGTGTATGTTGAACTTCTTTCACACCGTATGCAGCCAACATGTCCGTACGATACACACGTGGTATATCCAACTTGTACACACATGCAGAGTACATGCATGTACTTACACACACACGACGCTTACACATTATTTCACACATTCACACACGCACAATATATGCTCGTGCACAACGAGTCGTATGCACATGCTACATACGCACACTTATTTGCACATACACATAAAACATTCCTGCAGAGAGAGCTGGTAGGAACGGTTGGGTTGCTCGGTCAATGGCCAGGGTCAACGGCGGCGTGGTGTATTTATAAGGGCACCACGGGGTGACCAGCCCCTCCCCACCCAGCCCCTCCCCACCCAGCCCCACCCTCCCCACCCAGCCCCACCCTCCCCACCCAGCCCCACTCCTCCCACCCCCCACCCAGCCCCACCCTCCCCACCCAGCCCCTCCCCACCCCACCCTCCCCTCCCCACCCAGCCCCTCCCCACCCAGCCCCTCCCAGCCCCTCCCCACCCACCCCCTCCCCACCCTCCCCACCCACCCACCCCCTCCCTCCCCACCCAGCCCCTCCCTTCACGACGGACGGACGGACACAATAATCCCCTGTGGGCTGGTGTAACCAGGAGGTTGCTACCAGTATTATCCACGGCCAAGAATCGAACTTCTTAGATCACAGAGGTTTGTGGCGCACACAAGACAAAGATCCCCAGTTTCTCTTTGAATGGCACTTTGCCCCAAGGGTCTGTTAAGGCTATACAGGGGAGCTTTGTCTCGTTTGTCCATGTGTGTGTGCTTCATTAGGCCCTTGTGTTGTGGATGCATTTTGTGCATTCTGCTCGATTATTTTTCACGAGTGCTCGTGTGTATGTCCATGCGTTGCATGTGCGTCCGTACATGCGAGTGTGCGTGCGTGTTTCCGTTTGTACGCATGCGTGTGGGGAGCGGTCGGCTGGATGTTGTGCGCTTGCTTATTCGGATTTGGAGGGAGCGGTGGTGTAGCGGTCGGTGCGCTGCAACTGAGCTTGGCGACCCGAGTTCGATTCCCGCTCACGGCCAACACCACCAGTGACGATGATCTGAATCGGTCCTGGCCCTCCCCTAGGTCGACTCAGCCTCAAATGAGTACCTATTGCGTCGTGTGAACATCGCCACTAGGGAGACAAAGGCGGCCGGGCTTGATGCTCACTAACAGCACTTGCCCAAGCAGTCTGTTAAGGCTATATGGGGGATCTTTGTCTTCTTCTCAGTCAGTCAGTCAACCCATGGCACCTGGATCTGTCCTCTAACCTGCCAGCGGGGTGTTGGACACTTCACGAGGCCTTAAAGCGCACATAGCCTGGCACAAGCGTCGTGGTGATGTCACCGCCGCTTAGTGGCAAATGGCGGTCGTTGTTGTGTTCTTGTGCGTGCTTGTGTTATACGCATTTGTGCGCATCAATATGTGTACGTTTGTATCCGTGTGTGCGTGTGTGTGCGCGCGTGTTTATTGGTGTTGCAGTGGTGGATGTGCTTCGTGAAGAGGCAGTTCATGAACAAGTCGCTGTCCGCACCGGGGCAGTAGCGCAATCCAGGCAGCACGGCGGATACCGGCTCGGTCGTCACCCCAAAGCTTACGACAAACCCCGAAGCCTGGTTTCACACGACTCTTACACCCTGCACTCAACCCAGCTTAAGCTTAACCCCAGCCCTAATAAACCTGGCTTAATCTTAAACCAGCCACTCGATCTAGCTTAGCTCTAACCACAGCCAATGAACCTGCATTAATATTCAACCCAGTCCTTTGCTTACACCTTAATCCTGGTGCTAATGCCAATTGAACGCATGTCTGGTTCTAACCTGGTTTATATTGAAACATACACCCAGCCCCCTACGCTGGCTCTGCCCAGTGTTAACCGCAGCTCATACAGACTTGAGCCATCAAAAAACCTGGCTTTAACCTCTCGGCTCTAAATAAATCAACCCTAAATGTACCTTAAACAGCCCTAAAATCTGTCTTTAACATCAACCCCAAGTCCCATCCCTCTCCGCCAAGGAGGTTGGGGTGGGGGGTTTAAGGGGCGATTGGGCGATAAGGTGGGGCGGCGATGAGAGAGGTCTCGCAGGGACATGACGTTCATCCAGCGTGTGTGTTGGTGTGCCTGTCTGTATCTTTGTACACTTGCGAACAATTTTTCAATAAACTCGTCAGCTCGTTTCACAAAGTTCGATTCACCGACATGTTCCTTGTGTGCTACTGTGGGGGGGTGGGGTGGGGGGCAGTCGTTGGTGCTGTCAACGTGGTAGTTGTGCACTTGTCTTAAAAACGCACCACAGCGGTTAGTTATCGTGGTGGTGCGATGCTCGCTGACAAACACACCTCGCCGAGGTTTAACATTCCCATTCCACTTCTTTATTAACCATCAATTCCACCGTTCGTGAATTTAACTTTTTAGTTTTTTTATCCATGAAACCTTTTTTAAAATCATCATCCCAAAAAAAATAAACCGCAAAAAACTACAGGGCAAGCAGCATGGAACAAAGCGTGGGTCCACAACGAGCGACAGCCGGCCATTATGAATAAGCCGGGAGGGACACGCGCACACGCGTACACACGCACTCGCACTCGCGCGCTTTAAGACGTCTCGGGTCTCCTGGCGGGGAGTTTGAACGCGGTATCGGCCACGCCGGGGGGTCCGTGTCGCCCCGACGTCAACTAGAAGCCTCTCCCCCCTCGCCTAAAACAAACGGAAAAAAAATAAAATTTCTCGCAACAAAAACTTTATTTTTTTGGCAGCGACCAAATGCCCATTTTGCGTGGTTTCTCTAGCATTTCAGTTTGGTGCTGGCGATGATTTTTAAATAAATAAATATTGTCTGGTTTGTTTCAAAGAGGAGAAACAGAAACATGGGATTTTTTTTTTATTTTTTTATGTCATCGGTGGACATGAAACTGAGAAGGCGAAACTCTCCGGGCCCTAAACCGTCGCCCGCCAAGAATATATGGCACGGCGTCACAGTGGGAGAGGGGTAGCTGTTTGTCCCACGTTGACCGTGCGTAGAGTGCGAGGTGGTTATAGGGTTCGGGATCGGGGTTGGGTTGGGGGCAGGAAAGAAGTTTGAGAGATTTGCATGAAAAATGCTTTAACTTTTCTCAGCATTTTCTTACACGAGACCCACACCCTGCTGATGAAACCCAGCAAACTAGATATCAAATTGCTGATGGGCAAATATTAACCCGGAAGAGATGATATTTTACCCATTTAGCAACTGAACAAATCTGCCCTTTTACATAATTACCTATTTTGTGATTCGTATCGAATTGTACGTTTTGTGCTTTTTCCCTGATGAATAAATATGGGCGGAATCACCGACGCAAGTCTGATCCCTCCCACCCACCCTCCCCCTTCCCCTTCCAGTGTCTTCCCAGGCTCCAGGCTCCGGATTCCAGGCTCCGGGATTTGGCCTCGCCCTGCCTCAGTTTTCCACTCCTCGGTCCTTCCCTGCAGAGAGAGAGAAAGGGGGGACATGCAGTCAGGGGTGGCAGCAGTTTAGGCTGTGCAGGTCGGCTCGCCGCTGGGCTCATGACCGCGGGGGGCGAGAGTTCCATTCCCCCGGTAGTCACCGTGTGGCTGTTCCTGTGGTGACATTCGCAGGGTAACCGCTGTTAATCTGACACCAGCTGTGTCCAGCCCGGCGTCTTAAGAGACACCTCGTGTCGCGAACAATTGACGTGTATTTGCGCAAACGAGGATGCAGCAGTCTCACAAAGAATAGGGATGCAGTCGCACTCATCTCCACTGGCAATTTGTAGCCAGTGGTGGAAATTCCACATTCCCATGGCGGGACAAGTTTTCCCATCGTACCAATTTATTATGGCATCCCCCAAAAAGTGCTTGCTCATTTTGTCGAACCGTCCCAGGGGCCTGTGCTTCAACTAGAAACCTTCCAATAGTGATTCCAGCATTATTGCCAGAGCAGTGGTTTTTGATTAACAAGGCCACCACCGGGCTGACGAGTCTCGGTGAGAATTAAGCTGTGCGGCCCAGTGCCGTCTTGTTTAATGACGCCGATGTCAACTGGGAAACATTCATCTTAGAGGGGGAATTGGCTCAAGCGCTGTTACTTCTCGGTCAGTAATCCAGCCCTTGCCAACTGAGGCCATCATCATCCCACTGTGGTGTCAATAAAGCAGTAGAATGCAGCACCACTTTGCATTCTAAATTTAAAAATAAACGTCCTCCGCCATAGGAAGGTGGAATTACCACCACCAGCTCGGTACCCTTATCGGCTTTTGTGCCATTATCATGCGCGTCTCTCGCACGGAGATGCTGCTGCTAGTTTTCCTGCCAGTTGTGATTAATGTTCAGAATCTTGGTAAAACAACGCAAGGTTCGTAACATTTCTATCAGTGGTGGGGATCCTTTTTTCTGGATTAGGCCAACAATAGGACTTTCATATACCCTGAGTGGACAAACTCTTTTTTTCCCCTCCACATTTAGAAACATGCGTTTAGAGCATTTGGCCTGCGATAAATGTCAACATAATTGATAAGCCACTTCGTTGAGCTATGAATTGCAATAACCAGGTCGCTTCTGCAATAAGAGCCGTATCGCTCAGTGGGCCTTACCTCGTCAAAATAAAAAAAGGGTTTAGTTTAACACGCGCACCTCATCGATAGCCAATGATGGCATGGAAAAGCAACGCGTGTGTCGAATACACGCGTCGCGTGCTCAACTCGCGAAATCATCTGCAGCCTTGCACGTGGGGGGAAACACTCCACCCCGTGCAGACGGAACAGGTGGAGTCCACATTGTGCCTCCTTCCCCTGGCGAGCCAGGGTACGGGCACCTTGACGCTCACGGGAAGGGAGTTTCACAACACTTGTGTGATCCATCAATCCTCGCTGCTGCCTCCACCATATAGATAGATGCAAACAACTGGGAAATCTATGCTCTTGGTAGACCATCATGGAGGGCGAAAATAAACAATGGAACTCAGCGTAATAATAGGGGTTTTCCCCCCTTTTTTCTCCTGGCAACAAAACTGAAACCTTTTTACGAGGAATCATGTGTGCATTAACCACAATGCTTGTGGTCAAAATGCAAACAAAAAACACACTCTGGTAATATTAGCATTGTCCTTGAAACTGATTGGTCCACACCAGAGACGGCTTTCTTTTGAGCCTCGTCTCAATTGGTGCTAGACCAGAGGACGCCAAAAGGCGTACAGCTCAAAGACAATGCACTATCAGAGTAATGAGGGCTCGCTCGGGTTAAGCATCTACATCAAAAAAGGTGGGAAAAACCCCTATTATTACATTTTGGTAATGACAAAGTAGGTCTAATGATGAAACTCAGCATTTTGAGGCCGAGCGAAAAGAGTTGATAGCCGCAGAGCACACAAACACTCGAGACAGAGACAATACGAGTGGGAGCTCCAGTATGGACCACCCTGGTGCCCCCACTGTTCCAAGATCTGCAGGTCACGGATTGGCCTACTCGGCCATCTCCGGACCCATGGACAGCCAGGTCCACCCTCGCAACACAGACAAGTGACGCCTGGAGGGAAATCAAACTCGAATACGAGGGATCCCAGAAGAAGGGGGATTCCAGGCATTGTGCGACGCATGCGTTTGCAATTCTTACAATATAAACAATCGCATTGCGAACAGCAAAAAACAAAATGGGGTTGGGGGGGGGGGGCGGAAACAAGCCTACAGGTGAAGAACACGTGACATCTTCTTGGTTCTTTCGGTAAAGTCACGTAGAATTGAAATAATAAAATAATAAAACGAAAACATAATAAAATAATTTTCACGACGTTTCGGCCACAACGCAAGCAGCCGTCCTCAGGTGTAGAGCAGGTCTGTCGAGAAGACAGACTCTTAGGAGGGGCGGGGGGGGGGGTGCTACGGTGGCTAGGAGATGTTAACTACCACGCCTGGTATACAGGAGGTCGTGGGTTCAATTGCAGCCCACGTGGGTTCAATTGCAATTGCAATATTTTGCTGTCTTTTCTTGGATTTTCTGTTTGCACTCAGTCACATATCACTTTAAGATGTTTTTTGTTCATGTTTTAGTTTTGTTGGTTTGTTGCGGTTGCACCCGATTCAAGAGCCGAATGGCTCACAGGGCTATACCTAATAAATGAAACTTGAAAGAAAAAAAAACCCGGACGCCTGTTGCTGTATATTTGGAGTTTGCGGTGTCAACTCTCCCTGTGGTCGCGTGGATTTTTCTCCGGGTCCCCCCGGTTTTATCCCTCCCAATAAAAAAGAAACCACCCACCGCGAACATCGTGAATAACGTTGCCTTCCTTACACGAGCGACACAGGGCGATCCGTTTACAGACACCCCAGTGATTTTGAGTGGACGGAGCTCCTCCTCCCGATGTACAAACGTGCGGCTAAATGTCGTGAAAGCGATGGATCCGTGCCTCACAGGCAGAGGTCGCAAACGGGTTTTGATTCCTTACCCGTACCCGTACCCGGCCGCACCAGGGTCGCAAACGGGTACCCGTACCCGTACCTGGCCGGGTATGGGTAGCCGGGTATCGGGTAGGGTACGGGTATCGGGTACCCGGTTGCGACCTCTGCCTCACAGGGGAGAGCGTTGACATATTTAACGAGCGTATCTCTGAGATTGATATTTTTTAAAAAACATCATTCCGCAATATATTTCTCCATATTTGTATTATTTCGGTGGGGTATCTATAAATGGATCGCGCTGTACCATAAGTATCGATTTTGACTTCAGACTTTCGTGACCGCAGGAATTCATATTCTTGCATTTGGAGGCTTTGTCCCCTCTTTTCTCTCCGCCTGATGAAGACCGCTCGTGTTGCGATCGAAACGTCGCGCGTGGATTTTTTGCTTTTATTATCCTCAATTTATTATTGAAAATGTTAATTTTATTTAATTACACTGGTCGACAACAACAAAAATAATTTCTAGCCCGGACTTTTGCAGCTGTTTTAGAATAATTTCAGGGTGTTGATTCCAAATCTGATCTCAGATTTGCTCTATCACATCTCATATTTATGCTATCGGCATACCCCATTTTCATTGATTTTACCCGAAATTAACTCTGTCACTTATGATTGCAAGTTGTTGCGAGTCAGTGACTGCTTTAGTGTTCAAATATGGTGCTGTACTTTTAGGATAGTGTGTTTATAATATCATTTTATATAGATATCCACATTTATTTAATATTTTTCTTCTGCAGTTTTTTTTGAAAATGCAATATTTGATATCTAAAAAACCTGATGTGATAGACAAAAACTGATGCCAGATTTGGAATCAGCACCCCAAAATCACCTTAAAACCGTTGGAATACCTTATGCCAGAAAAAGTGTGTTGACCAGTGTTATTTAATAAGAAAATATTATTTACAGCGGACTGACATTGCGGACAATTTGCCCGCTTCGGATAAGATGGGCAGAGAGATCTTCTGACTTGTAGCTGTTGATCGTGGCTTTAACTTGCGATGTCTTAAAGCGCGCACACACACAAACACACCGGGCAATATCATAGAGCCACGCTCAGCCATTTGTTCGTGCCTCAAGTGAACTCCACCCCAAGGATTCATCTTCTTGGTTCTTTCGGTAAAGTCAAGTAGAAGGGAAGTAATAAAATAATAAAAATAAAACATTATTTTATTACTTCCCTTCTACGTGACTTTACCGAAAGAACCAAGAAGATGAATCCCTGCAGTCACGAAAGCTTTAAATCGAAATCCACCCCAAGGATCAAGAGGAGCCGAACTGAAAACCATCCCCTCTCATGCTTCGAGGGATTCAAACAGCCATTGCCCCAAAAAGCCCTCCTCGCAAACAATAAACCACAGGCACATTTCCATTCCTTCAGATTTCGTTGCTGCTGCTGCTGCTGCTGTTGTTGTGCAAGCAAACCCGGTGCCTTCGCCAGCAAGAGAGAGAGAGGAAAAGCAACCGAAGAAACTTCGGGGGGAAGAAAAAAGAGAGAGAGAGAGCCAAGCCGAGGCACGGTCGAATCCCTTTGCGTGTCTGGAACCTGACAATTGCGCGGCTGACACACGACAGGCATTTCTCAAACGTGCAGCATCCAAGGCATTGGGGCAGACGCCCACGTGGAAAACGCAGACACATTCGCAGGCGATCAACGCAGACGACCTCCCTCCAAGGGCTCCTCTCCACGAGCCACGCATCTCGTCATCAAGCGCGTTCCAAGTCACGTTGCGCGCAATCAGGCGGCAATCCCAACGTGGCCGGTTCAACAAATGCAGGTTCGCAAATCCCGACCCCTCCACCGTGGGTCCTCCGGGTGCAGGAATTGCATGCACGCAATGTGGCAGGCATTGCAGGCAATGGGGGTGGGTGGGTGGGAGTTCGGTACCTGGAGTCGAACTGATGTTTTTTGGAGGTGGTTAGGCTGTGAGGGCAGAACGTACGCGTGGAATGGGAGGACACGCGGTGAGGTTAGGGTTTCACACAGTACGCACACACACAGTACACACACACACACACAGCGCACACACGGTACACACGCACAGTACACACACAGTACACACACACAGTACACACACACAGCATGCACACGGTACACACACACAGTACACACACACAGCACACACAGTACACACACACACAGCACACACAGTACGCACACACACACAGTACACGCACACACACATAGCATACACAGGGTACACACACACAGTAGACACACACACAGCACACACACACGGTACACACAAACAGTACACACACACAGAACACACACAGTACACACACAGTACACGTGGCGATGTTTACACAGTACACACACACAGTACACACAGTACACACACACAGTACACACACACAGTACACACAGTACACACAGTACACACACACAGTACACACACACAGTACACACAGTACACACACACAGTACACACACAGTACACGTGGCGATGTTTACACAGTACACACACACAGTACACACGCACAGTACACACACACACAGTACACACACACAGTACACACACGCAGTACACTTGATGATGTTTACACAGTACACACACACAGTACACACGCACAGTACACACGCACAGTACACTTGATGATGTTTACACAGTACACACACACAGTACACACACACAGTACACACACACAGTACACACACACACAGTACACACACAGTACACACACACACACAGTACACACACAGTACACACACACAGTACACACACGCAGTACACTTGATGATGTTTACACAGTACACACACACAGTACACACGCACAGTACACACGCACAGTACACTTGATGATGTTTACACAGTACACACACACAGTACACACGCACAGTACACACGCACAGTACACGTGGTGATGTTTACACAGTACACACACACAGTACACACACACACACAGTACACACACAGTACACTTGGTGATGTTTACAAAGTACACACACACAGTACACACACAGTACGCGTGGTTATGTACAAACACGGCACACAGCACACGTGGTTATGTACACACAGTACACACGCACAGTACACACACACACACACAGTACGCGTGGTTATGTACACACACCGTTCAATGGCTGGGATGGGAACGCACACAGACGAAATGCATACGACTATGGGATGTATACATTAGATTAATAATCATCCACGCGTGTGGATTTCCTGTTCGTACGTGGTACCTACCACGCATTTGTTAGTCATTTCAAGTCAGTCAACCCACGGCACCTGGGTGTCCGTCTCCTGACCTCCTGCACCTAGCCTGGCACAAGCCACTTTGTGGTGAAGGACGGTCGTTGTTGTACAACGCGTGCTATACGGGGAGCGGTGGCGCAGTGGTTAGCACACTGCGCTACGAACCCGGGGACCCGAGTTTGATTCCCGCTTCACGGCCAAGAACATTGGCAGCGAATATCTGAATCGGTCCTGGGCCTCTGCAGTTTATCAACATCGCCACTGGGGAGACAAAGGCGGCCGGGCGTGGTGCGGCACTTGCCCCAAAAAGTCTGTTGAGGCTACACGGGGGATCTGTCTTTTTGTGTGTGTGAGACCAGATTTATCCAACTTTATGGGATATGATGAAGAAGGGCCCTTGGCCGAAACGTCGCCGATTATTGATGTTCTGCTTTTAATGCACGACGTTAGAGGTGATAGACACAAAGAAAAAAAACTTTTTTCACTTGCGGTCACACTGATTGATCCAGGCACGGAGTACGATCCATTCCAGGTTTTTTTTGCGTGTGTTAATGTCCGTGTGTGTGTGTCTGTTGTGTGGTGCATCAGCCAGTCATCTCAGTCATCTCAAGCCAGTCAGTCAACCCGTGGCACCTGCTGGGTCTGCCCCGTGACCTCCTGCCAGAGGGCGTTCGACACTTCACGTGGCCTCAAGGTGCACGTGGCCTGGCACAAAGCGTCGTGGTGACGTCACCGCCACTTAGTTGCGAATGGCGGCTGTTGTTGTTGTGTTCAATGACTCTCCGTCATGTTGAACTTCTTTCTTTAGAGCCATGCGCCACTCAACCCGCAGAATTTTTGTCCAATTGGCCAGAGAGATGAGCTCGGTCAACGTTTACGATGGGTTGTTATTTCATACCCACCACCACCCCTACGTATAAATAGATAACGTCAACGTTATACTTGTAGGAACCTCCTGGTTACACCAGCCCACAGGGGATTATTGTGTCCGTCCGTCGTGCAGGGAGGGGCTGGGTGGGGAGGGGAGGGTGGGGAGGGGCTGTGTGGGGAGGGGAGGGTGGGGAGGGGCTGGGTGGGGAGGGGCTGGGTGGGGCTGGGTGGGGAGGGTCGGGCTGGGTAGGGGGTGGGAGGGGTGGGGCTGGGTGGGGAGGGGCTGGTCACCCCGTGGTGCCCTTATAAAACTCAACGTTTAACCTACTCACGCCGGCTTGTGCCCGCCCTCACAGTCGGCCATATTTGCGGAATACACCACGCGCCGTTGACCCTGCAGGCCATTGACCGAGCAACCCAACGTGTTCCTACCAGCTCCCTCCGCAGCAGCAGGACAATGTGTTTGTCTTTGTTGTGCTCTCACCCTCCAGGTAGTTTCGTGCGAAGCACTTCATAACTTCATCGATGAGGATGACGGGGAGGGATATCTTCAGCACCATGAGCCATTTCGTCAGGTCCAGAGGACTCACTTGGAACACCATCTGTACACACACACACACACCGTGCAGACATCATTACTACACCACCATCTATATACACACCGTACAAACATTACTATACTACCACACACACACACACCGTGCAGACAACATTACTACACCACCATCTATATACACACCGTACAAACATTACTATACTACCACACACACACACCGTGCAGACAACATTACTACACCACCATCTATATACACACCGCACACACATTACTACACTACCACACACACACACACACCGTGCAGACAACATTACTACACCACCATCTATATACACACCGTACAAACATTACTATACTACCACACACACACACCGTGCAGACAACATTACTACACCACCATCTATATACACACCGTACAAACATTACTATACTACCACACACACACACACCGTGCAGACATCATTACTACACCACCATCTATATACACACCGTACAAACATTACTATACTACCACACACACACACACCGTGCAGACAACATTACTACACCACCATCTATATACACACCGTACAAACATTACTATACTACCACACACACACACACCGTGCAGACAACATTACTACACCACCATCTATATACACACCGTACAAACATTACTATACTACCACACACACACACACACCGTGCAGACATCATTACTACACCACCATCTATATACACACCGCACGCACATTACTATACTACCACACACACACACACCGTGCAGACAACATTACTACACCACCATCTATATACACACCGTACAAATATTACTATACTACCACACACACACACACCGTGCAGACATCATTACTACACCACCATCTATATACACACCGTACAAACATTACTATACTACCACACACACACACACCGTGCAGACATCATTACTACACCACCATCTATATACACACCGCACACACATTACTACACTACCACACACACACACACACCGTGCAGACAACATTACTACACCACCATCTATATACACACCGTACAAACATTACTATACTACCACACACACACACACCGTGCAGACAACATTACTACACCACCATCTATATACACACCGCACACACATTACTATACTACCACACACACACACCCCGTGCAGACAACATTACTACACCACCATCTATATACACACCGTACAAACATTACTATACTACCACACACACACACACACCGTGCAGACATCATTAATACACCACCATCTATATACACACCGTACACACATTACTATACTACCACAAACACACACACACCGTGCAGACAACATTACTACACCACCATCTATATACACACCGCACACACATTACTATACTACCACACACACACACACCGTGCAGACAACATTACTACACCACCATCTATATACACACCGCACAAACATTACTATACTACCACAAACATACAAACACCGTACAGACTAGATTACTACAAAGAAGGCAAAGATCTCCCGTATATTCTCAACAGACTGTTGGGGCAAGTGCTGTTAGCGAGCACCGCATGACGGCCTGGCACGGGCGCCGTTGTCTTTTTTTTACACCGCACCAGTTACTCATTTGAGACTGAGTCGACCTAGGGGAGGCCCCGATTCAGATAATCGTCACTGGGTGTCGTTGAGCGTGAGCGGGCATCGAACTCGGATCGCCGGGTTCGTAGGGCAAGCGCGCTAACCACTACGCTGCCGCTCCCCCACCACCTCCACCACGACTGCCTTGACCACCACTGCCACCACCAACACCACCACCACCATCACGGCCTTGACTACCACTGCCACCACCAACACCACCACCACTGCCTTCACCGCCACTGCTTTCACCACCACCTCCACCACCACCTCCACTACGACTGCCTTGACTGCCACTGCCTTCACCAACACCACGACTGCCTTGACTACCACTGCCTTCACCAACACCACGACCACCACCTCCACCACCACCTCCACCACGACTGCCTTCACCACCACCACCACCTCCAACACCTCCACCACATCCACCACGACTGCCTTGACTGCCACTGCCTTCACCACCACCACGACTGCCTTGACTACCACTGCCTTTACCAACACCACGACCACCACCTCTACCACCACCTCCACCACGACTGCCTTCACCACCACCACCACCACCACCTCCAACACCTCCACCACTTCCACCACGACTGCCTTGACTGCCACTGCCTTCACCACCACCACCACGACTGCCTTGACTGCCACTGCCTTCACCAACACCACGACCACCACCTCCACCACCACCTCCACCACGACTGCCTTCACCACCACCACCACCACCGCCTCCAACACCTCCACCACCTCCACCACGACTGCCTTGACTGCCACTGCCTTCACCACCACCACCTCCACCACGACTGCCTTCACCACCACCACCACCTCCAACACCTCCACCACCTCCACCACGACTGCCTTCACCACCACCACCACCACCTCCAACACCTCCACCACCTCTGCCTTGACTGCCACTGCCTTCACCACCACCACGAATGCCTTGACTACCACTGCCTTTACCAACACCACGACCACCACCGCCACCACCACCACTGCCACCGCCACCAGCACCACCGCCACCGCCACTGCCACCGCCGCCACCGCCACCGCCGTGTGTCCGTACCGGCAGGGGTTCCACGTGAAGGATGAGGAAGTGCAGAGACATGGAGAGCAGCATGGAGCCCAGGAGCCACAGGTTCACCCATGGCGGCATGCGCACCAGGGACTGGTTCTCCGACAGACTGCAGAGACAAAGGTCATCATCCATTTAGTACGTAAGCATGGAGGGGGGGGGCGGGCGGGGGGGGGGGTTAACCCAAATGCGTACGTCACACGGCGTCACAAAAAGTCAGACCCCCCCCCCTCAAATATGACGTCACAAAGCTCTGCCCCCCCCCCTCCCCCAATAAAACAAACATGCTTCAAATCGCTTTAAACTATTGTCATTGTAGTGCGTATTTAATGTGGCGCTGCACTCTGATGTTGTAGGAGAAAACATTTATGAAAAAGTCTATTTCATTAAGTGGAACGTGTTGTCTATATTTCTTTAAAGTAGCGCATTTTGATGTGAGGGGCTGGGTGGGGAGGGTGGGGAGGGGCTGGTCACCCCGTGGTGCCCTTATAAAACTCAACGTTTAACCTACTCACGCCGGCTTGTGCCCGCCCTCACAGTCGGCCATATTTGCGGAATACACCACGCCGCCGTTGACCCTGACTATTGACCGAGCAACCCAACGTTCCTACCAGCTCCCTCCGCAGCAGGAATGTGTTTGCGGCGGTGGTTGTTGTAATTATTGCGGTATTAGTAGCTGTGACGGCGATGTTGGTGGCGGTCGTTATTGTAGTTGCTGGTGAGCGGTGCCTGTGTTTGCTCGCCTGTTGAGGGCGTTGGACATCTCGATGGTGACGAGCACGGACAACGCCATGGTCATGGGGACCGGAGACTCGAAGATCTCGCAGTCCTCAACGTCGTGGAACGCCGGATTGTCCGGGCCGCACTGCAGGAAGTGGCTCTGCAAACACATTGACCGCACCGCGCTGGTCACAACGACTCCGCTCCCATCAACCGCTGCTGGTCACACCGCACTCACCGCGGTTGGCTATGTACGGCGCGAAAGAAGTTCACCACGAACTAAACCATTTTTATTTCACCAGGTAAGGCCCACTGAACTATGTAGCTCTTTTTAAATCCTTTATATTAAGTTTGCTTGCTTGCTTGCTTACGACCGTGCAAATCTTTCGGTCGTTTTTTAACCCACTTCCCGTGATCCAATCGAGCTGACATTTTCCACACAGACTCGTTGTGCGTGACAATTAATGTTCGTAAAATTTTTTTTCCAAAATTTTACACTTTTTAGGACAAAAATATTATATTTAATTACCCATTGCTTAATGCTGCCAGACAATCATCTGACCCATAGGTGGCAGCCATCTCAAGCCAGAGGACGAGAGGACTCTAGCCGCCACGCATTATAAAGGATTTATAGTGAAAAACTTTGTTTTTACGGGTTATACTTATTCAGAAGCTCCCTTACGGCAAATGATAGCCCAACGAAGTGGCTTATCGTCAGGTGGACATCTACAGCAGCCAAATACTCTGAACGGCGTGATGCTGATTCTAAATGCGGAGGGAGAAAATCAGAGGACCCGGAGAAAAATCCACACGGCCACGGTGAGAGAGAGAGACACCGCAAACTCGAAATATACAGGCGTCGGGGTCGGGATCAACCCACGACCTCCTGTATGCCAGGCGAGATGGCTAACATCTCGCCACGCATACATAGATACACCAATCTCACCCCTCTTAACCGCACTGTGTTAACTGCGCGTGATTAACAACAGTACTGCTTGTGTGGTTGTTTGTGGCCGTTTGTGTGTACGATTGTGTGTGTGTAGTGACATAAGAAGGGAGGGGCTGCTGGGGGCTCTGGGTTCCCGGGCGGGTCCAGCCTCTGGGCGCCAGGCGTTGGGTTCCCAGGGGGTCCAGACGCTTAAGCCTCTGGGCGCCGCCAACGGGGGGGGGGGGGGGGGCTGTGTGTGCTCTGTGGGATGTCTGGTGGCGCACACGGCCCCACCCCTCGTTGGACCAGGCATAAAAGGAGAGCTCCGTGGACGATCGGGGCCAGTTGTAACTCAAGACCCAAGACCCACGACCAGCCATCTGAAGACCCTGGGATGCTGTGAGAGCGAGTGGTGGGACTCTGGAACTCCCGACTCTATGACCTTGTGAGAGCGAGTTCCAGAGCGTAGCCAGAGTAGAGTATCTAGGCTGTGTAGCTAGGCTGTGTACCTAGGCTGTAACAGAGTATCAGGACTGTTGGAGAGTTGGACTGTTGGAGTGTTGTATTGTAATAAAGAAGTTACCTCTACAAGTGTCTCCGGAACCCGTTACATGTGCATTGTCCGTGTGGTTGTGTGTGTGGTTAACTGTGTGGCTGCGTGGTTGACTGTGTGTGGCTGTGTGCGACTGTGTGGTTGATTCTGTGGCTGTGTGGTTGACTCTGGCTGTGTGGTTGACTCTGGCTGTGTGGGTGACTCTGGTTGTGTGGTTGACTCTGGCTGTGTGGTTGACTGTATGGTTGTGTGGTTGACTGTGTGTGGCTGTGTGCGACTGTGTGGTTGATTCTGTGGCTGTGTGGGTGACTCTGGTTGTGTGGTTGACTCTGGCTGTGTGGTTGACTCTATGGTTGTGTGGTTGACTTGTGTGGCTGTGTGTCGCTGTGTGGTTGATTCTGTGGCTGTGTGGTTGACTCTGGCTGTGTGGTTGACTGTGTGTGAGCTGTGTGCTCGACTCTGTGTGGTTGTACGTGGCCGCGTGTGTGTCGATCACCACGCACCAGCTGGTAGTAGCTGAGGTGGGGCCCGTCCTCGGCGTACATGAACCACCAGGCGGCTGCTCCCACTGTCGCACATCCCACATAGCCTGGGGCACGGGGGGAGACATTCGAGTTGGATGAGGAGGAGGGAGACACAGGGAGGAGGACGAGGAGGAAGGGAGACACAGGAAGGTCGAGGGAGACAGGGAGGAGGAGGAGGAGGGAGACACAGGGAGGAGGCGGAGGGAGACACAGGGAGGACGAGGGAGACACAGGGAGGACGAGGGAGACAGGGATGAGGAGGAGGAGGGAGACACAGGGAGGAGGAGGAGGAGGAGGGAGACAGGGAGGAGTAGGAGGATGAAGATGGAGACACAGGGAGGAGGACGGGGAGGAGGAAAACACGGATGACGAGGAGGGAGACGGGGAAGAGGAGGAGGAGAAGGGAGACAGGGGGTACGAGAAGGAGGGAGACAGGGAGTCTCTACAACGCAGAGCAAAACCCACCACCGCTCAGGCCCTGTCACGGGACACCAATGGACCGTGACAGGGCCTATTATTTATATAATTTTATTATTTGTTTTAATTATTATTTATTTTTTACCTACGTGACTTTACCGAAAAAAACCTAAGAGTACCAATGGACCCTCCCCCCCACACGACCCGACGACCCACGGTACGCCCTCACCTCCGATGGCCATGTATCTGAAGAAGAGCCATCCGCTGATGAGGCCCTCCTTGGGGCTGCGAGGAGGCTTGTTCATGATGTCCAGGTCGGGGGGGTTGAAGCCGAGGGCGGTGGCCGGGAGGCCGTCCGTCACCAGGTTCACCCACAGCAGCTGCACGGGGATCAGCGCCTCGGGGAAGCCCAGGGCAGCCGTCAGGAAGATGCTGAATTGGTGCGAGTGGAGGAGAGGCGGGGGGGGGGGAGAAGGGAAAGAGATTGTGAATAGAACTCGAAGTAGAGAATCATGGAGTGGCTGTGTTGCGGGTGAGGGGGCATGGTGAGGACATCTGAGATACGGAGACGGGGGATTTGAGAGAGATCTGGATATGCAGGAGGGATATGGCGACGATGTGACGACAGGACGTAAGGGATAGATATTGGAGGGTACATTTGGATGCTAAGAGGACACTGAGAACATGGGACACCAGGAGACAAGGTGGGACAGTTGGGTATGAGGACGCAGGGACACACAGAGCCGAGGACAGAGATGGACAGGCGAAATGAATACACAACAGAGGAGACAGTGAGAAAGAGAGAGAGACGGGCACACCGAGACAGCTAGGGACGCAGAGAGAGAGAAAGACGTGGACACAGGGACACAGGAAAACAGAGAGACGCCCCAGGGACACGGGGATACGGAGAGACATAGAGAGAGAGAAAGACGTGGACACAGGAAGACAGACAGACGCCCTAGGGACACGGGGATACGGAGAGACACAGAGAGAGAGAGAGACGCACACACGGGGGTCGCATTCGGCAGTGCGCTCCTCACCACACGACCTCGCCCACGTTGGAGGAGATGAGGTAGCGGATGAACTGCTTCATGTTGTTGTAGATGGCGCGGCCCTCCTCGACGGCGGACACGATGGAGGCGAAGTTGTCGTCGGCAAGCACCATCTCGGACGCCGACTTGGCCACGGCCGTGCCGGAGCCCATGGCGATGCCGATCTCGGCCTTCTTGAGCGCAGGTGCGTCATTCACGCCGTCGCCCGTCTGATGGGGTTGGGTGGGGAGAGACGGGGAGTGCGGGGAATTGCGGAGCGTGAGACACGGGGAGAAGCGGCTGGCACGATAGGAGCACCAGCGCGGTGGAATTCGCCAGCAGCAGCGGTAGTACCTCTACTACCACCACCATCATTATTAATACCACTGCCACCACAATCATCATCACAGCCATTACCGCCACCACTACAAGCAGCTTCACAATCACCACCACCACCAGCAGTAGTACTTACACTACCACCACCATCATCATCATCAATACCACTGCCACCACAATAATCATCACAGCCATTCACGCCACCACTACAAGCAGCCTCACAATCACCACCGCCAGCAGCAGTAGTACCTCCACTACCACCATCATCATCATCAATACCACTGCCACCACAATCATCATCACAGCCATTACCACCACCACGACAAAACCAGCCTCGCAATTAGCACCACCACCAACACCACCAGCAGCTCAACAATCAACACCACTGCCCCCACCGCCACCACCGGTACGTCACTCACCATGGCGGTGATCTCGTCGTATCCCTGCAGGTACTCCACGATCTTTGACTTGTGCGAGGGCTCGACACGGGCGAAGCAGCGTGCACGCATGGTGGCAGGTCCCTTGTCGGAGCTGGGCAGGTCGTCGAACTCGCGGCCCGTGTACGCCTTCCCTTCCACGTCCTCGTCCTCCGTGAAGATGCCGATGCGACGGCAGATGGCCACGGCCGTGCCCTGCGCGTGGGAGGGAGGGGAGTGGAAACAAGTAAACCCGTAAAAAAAAGTTTTTCACTATAAATCCTTTATATGCGTGGCATCGGGGCGGCTAGAGTCCTCTCGTCCTCTGGCTTGAGATGGCTGCCACTTATGGGTCAGATGATTGTCTGGCAGCATTAAACAATTGGTAATTAAATATTTTTAAAAAATTCCCCAAACAGTGTAAAACTTTGGAAAAAAATTTTCACGAAAATGCATTGTCACACACAACGAGTCTGTGTGCAAAATGTCAGATCGATTGGATCACGGGAAGTGGGCTAAAAAACTACCGAAATATTTGCACGGTCCTAAGCAAGCAAGCGAACTTAATATAAAGGATTTAAAAAGAACGGGACCAGTCACGGGAAGGAGAGGAATGTCTCCTGATCGCCTCGAGGCCAGTGAGGGCACCGCGATGTTGAGATGTCAACTACTTCGCCCGCAATACAGGAGGTCGTGGGTTTTCGAACCCGACCCTGGCACCTGAATATTTGGGGGGGTTTTCTCCGGTTCCTCCGGTTTTTCCATCCACATTTAGAATCAACATTCGTTACTGTTATATATTTCCACGTGGCAAGCCACTTCGTTGAGCTATCATTTGTGGCCAGGTCACTTCGGAAAAACAGCTGTATAGCTAACTGGGCCTTAGCTGGTATAATAAAAAACACTTTTTTAGCTTTAAATAGTTGTAGAGTACTCGTCACACGACAGACACAAAATCTTAGATGTTCAATGACCCCCTCGGAGGAGATTTCCCAGGAGAGCCACCTCTCTCGGGAAGAGGACCATTCTGCCAAACGCTGGGTTATGGTGGCTGACAAAGATCCCCCGTGTAGCCTTAACAGACTGGAGGGGCAAGTGCTGTTAACGAGCACCTATGAAGGCCGGAACGGTACACGAGGGGGTGGGTGGCCAGCACCACGCCCGACCGCCTTTGTCTCCCCAGTGGCGATGATTACACATCGTTTGAGGTTGAGTCGACCTAGGGGTGGTTGAGCGCACTGTGTCAGGAACCTCGCAGGCTGAATTCGATTGCTGCTGACGGGCAACATCAGTGGCATAAATATATACTTTATCTACAAACCGGTCCTGGGAATCCCCCTAGATCGACTCAGCCTCAAACGTGTACCCAACAGCACTGGGGAGACAAAGGCGGCACCTAGTTCGCCGTGCAGCCCTTTCGTAGGTGCTCACTAACAGCACTTGGCTCAACAGGCTAGTCAGGCAGTACGGGGGATCTTTGTCTTTTGTGTGCGCACTTAACCTTGAAAGGGAAGCTACGTGGGGGGGGGGGGGGGGTCTTCGTTTGCCCACGCACTCTGAGTGAGTGTGTGCGTGTGTGTGTTCGGCCGGATCGAGGGGGCTAAACGGGCGCGGCACGGGCTAGAGAAGAGATGGAGTGATGTGGTACAGGAGGACGTGGAGCTGAGTGGACTTGCCGATGACTGGTACCAGCGGTGTCAAGATCGGCCTCTGTGGAGGAGGCTCGTAAACGATGCTACTGGGCAGTTGGAGGCAGTCGCCCTCCAACAACAACGGAGGGCGGACGAGCGACGCTCACAACAACGAGCGGAGCGCCGGGTGGCTAAAGCACAGCAAGTTGGCACAGTAGGGGGCACAGGTGGTGCATCAGCCAGTCGTCTCGGTCATCTCAAGTCAGTCGACCCGTGGCACCTGCTGGGTCTGCCCCGTGACCTCCTGCCAGCGGGCGTTCGACACTTCACGTGGCCTCAAGGTGCACATGGTCTGGCACAAACATCGTGGTGATGTCCCCGCCACTTAGTGGCGAATGGCGGTTGTTGTTGTTGTTGCGTGCGCGTGTTTCACTCGCCTTGTTGTCGCCGGTGATCATGATGACCCTGATGCCGGCTTCCCTGCACAGGATGATGGAGCCCATGACCTCCTTGCGAGGAGGGTCCAGCATCCCCACGCAGCCCACGAACGTCAGATCCGCCTGTGGCAGGAGAGAGGACGATCATTTCACACGCACGGATTCCAACCCGCTCGCACGCTGTTGTACCGCGTGAATACCGCGTTATGCGCGGGGGGTATGTACACTTACGTACGTCGAACTTTCTTTTAGACGCCGTACGTAAACCAATGGTGCTAAATCAGAGGCGCTAAGGACATCAAGATAATGTTGTTGGTTCTTTCGGTAAAGTCACGTAGAAGGGAAATGATAAAGTAATAAAAAATAAAACATAATAATCGACCCAGCTTAAATATACGCTGCCAAGCTTGGCGGTGTTCATTGGGACGCTGTCTTTCCGACAGCTCTGTTTCTTCACCTGAGGACGGCTGCTTGTGTTGTGGCCGAAACGTCGTGAGAATTTTTATTTTATCATGTTTTATTTTTATTATTTTATTATTTCCCTTCTACGTGACTTTACCGAAAGAACCAAGAAGATGAATCCCTGCAGTCACGAAAGCTTTAAATCCACATCAAGATAACTAAATGGGGCGCCTCGGTGGCTAGGAGATGTTAAATGCCTCGCCTGGTATGCAGGAGGTCGTGGGTTTCAATCCCTACCCTGAACACCTGTATATTCGGAATTTGGATGTCTCTCTCTCTATCTCTCCACGTGGTCACATGGATTTACCTCCACATTTAGAATCAACGTGTGTGTTTAGAATACAATTAATAAAAAATAAAGGCAATTCGTTTTTTATTTTACATTTAATTTTAATTTCTTTTATTTTATACCTACGTGACTTTACCGAAATAACTCAAGAGTATGGATCATTGCAGTCACGAAAACTTAAGATCTAGATTCTGTGTTTAGAGTGTTTGCCTGCTCTACATTTCCAAGTGTTGAGCCACTTCAATTTGTGCCCAGGTCGCTTCTGAAAAAGAGTTCAATGGGGCCTTACTTGGTAAAATAATTTTAATAGTTTTAACTAAAGGGGCCGTCCATAAATGACGTCACGCGATTTTTGACGATTTTTGACCCCCCCCCCCCTTCGTCACACTACGTCACAAAAAGTCAGACCCCCCCCCCCTCAAATATGACGTCACAAAACTCTGCCCCTCCCCCCCCAAAATAAAACATGCTTCAAATCGCTTCAAACTATTGTCATTGTAGTGCGTATTCAATGTGGCGCTGCACTCCGATGTTGTAGGAGAAAACATTTATGAAAAAGTCCATTTAATTAAGTAGAACGTGTTGTCCATATTTATTTAAAGTTGCGCATTTTGATGTCACGTCACATTTCTCAAACACCCCCCCCCCGTCACACATCGTCACAAATGTCTGACCCCCCTCCCCCCCCTAGGTGCGTGACGTCATTTACGGACGGCGGCGCAGACGTTAAACAGCACGGGCAGTCCTCGGTTTACGAACCCAATTCGTTCCCGAGACCCGTCGGCGCGTAAATTTCTTTAGTTTAAACGCGCGCGGAGAAACGCGCGCCCGCAAACCTCGTAGCTGCCGAACTTGGTGGAGTCCTCCAGAACCATGTCCTCCCGGCGTGGCGGGGTGTCGCGTGTCGCCAGCGCCAGGCAGCGCAGCGTGTCGCGGCCCGTGCCGTACTCGCGGATCGTCGACATGATCCTGTCCTTGACGCCGGGGGTCATGGGCACCTTGGTGGTGCCGACGCGCACGTGGGTGCAGCGGTCCACCACGCCCTCGGGCGCGCCCTGCGCGTGTGCGTGTCGTAGGGGGGGAGGGGAGGGGAGGGAGGGGGTTGCGGTGGGGGATGGAGGAGAAGGGGGGATGGAGGGGAGGAGGAAGGAGGGGGTAGTGGAGGGGGTAGTGGAGGGGGTAGTAGAGGGAGTAGTGGAGGGGGTAGTGGAGGGGGTAGTAGAGGGGGTAGTGGAGGGGGTAGTAGAGGGGGTAGTGGAGGGGGTAGTGGAGGGGGTAGTAGAGGGGTAGTGGAGGGGGTAGTGGAGGGGGTAGTGGAGGGGGTAGTGGAGGGGGAAGTAGGGGGTAGAAAGGAGGAGGGGGAGTGGGAAGAGGAGGGAGGGGGGGTAGTGGAGGGGGGGGGGTAGTGGAGGGGGTAGTGGAGGGGGTAGTGGAGGGGGGGTAGTGGAGGGGGTAGTGGAGGGGGGAGTAGGGGGTAGAAAGGAGGAGGGGGAGTGGGAAGAGGAGGGGGGGGGTAGTGGAGGGGGGAGTGGGGGGGGGGGAGTGGGGGGTAGTGGAGGGGGTAGTGGAGGGGGTAGTGGGAAGAGGAGGGAGGGGGGTAGTGGAGGGGGTAGTGGAGGGGGTAGTAGAGGGGGTAGTGGAGGGGGTAGTGGAGGGGGGAGTGGGGGGGGGTAGAAAGGAGGAGGGGAGTGGGAAGAGGAGGGTGGGGGGAGGACGAGGGGTCGGGAGGGGGTGGGGACAGAGGACCGACCAGTATAAGGATTGGCTCAGAATTGTGGGATGAGCCGTAATCCTGGTTTGCCGGAAAGATGAAACAGCAAACAAAATGTGAACTCCACCCGTTCTGTCTGTATGGGGGATAGAGTGTTTCCCCCTCGCACGCGCGTGTTTTCTCCGGACACTTTAAAGCGTCGTAAAGAATAGGATCGAGGCGAAGGTTGGCGTTCGGGGTTGGGGTCAGGTTTAAGCCTCGAAATCGATGGGATAAATATCGATAAAACGTGGGAGGAGGGAGGGGAGGGAAATCTGTCATCCGCTTGTTGTGGGTGAGTGGGCTTGGACATAGAGACGACGCTACAATGTGTGTGTGTTGAGTGCGGCCTTGTGCTCGTGATGTATTCGATGCAGTGACCGCCTTTTGATCGATCGTGTGGGTGCTGTGGGTCCGTGCCGACCTTCACGAAGAGCTTGGGACCCACGGCGGAGCGCGTGGGCTTGGTGGGGACGCAGTAGACGGACATGGACTTGCGGTCTCGCGAGAACTCCAGCGTGAATTCCTTGCGCATCAGTTGCTTGATCACCTGGGGGCGGGGGGGGGGCACGAGACGCATGAGGGTGGGGGGCGGGGTGGAGGAGGGTGGGGGGCGGGGTAGAGGAGGGTGGCGGGGGGGGGGAGGAGGGTGGGGGGCGGGGTGGAGGAGGGTGACGGGGGAGGGGCAGGGCGGAGGAGGGCGGGGGGGTGGAGAGAGGGGGCTCAGTTGGCTACGTATCGTGCTGAACTAAGTTCAATATCTTCTTGGTTCTTTCGGTAAAGTCACGTAGAATGGAAATAATAAAAATAAAACATAATAAAAGAACCAAGAAGATGAATCCCTGCAGTCACGAAAGCTTTAAATCGAAATTTAAGCTCAATATCACAAAGGTTTTTGTTTAGGGTTAAATTGCGTCAATACAAATGTGCGCTTACGCCATCTAACCCCCCAAAAAAACACGTTACCACGGACACTATCGGTTGCCAAAGTCTACGTGTTAAAGTGTAACATCCATACAAACCCCCCCCCCCCCCCACGTTCGTTCATTCATTCGGTCGTTCATTCGTTCACCGGGTCTCACATTTACTTTCTCATTCGCTTGCTCGCCCGCCGGCTCATCCATTCGCTCATGCGTTCACTCAAGCGACCTGCGGATCGATCGATCGATCGATCGATCGGCACCGATTGTTGAATTGCTCGCCTCGCCCATCGGTGTGTCCGCATTATCGTTCGCCGGCTCCTTCAATGAATTTAACTTCACAAGTCAATTCCTTGAGACGCCGCTCAATCCCTTTGTCCGTTCACTGGTTCGTCGCGAGGATAGCCGCGTCGGTGGGTGAGTGGAGCGAGCGAACGAGCGAGCGAACGAGCGGTGCGAGCGATCGGTGCGAGTGAGGCTCACGTTGTTGCACGCGTTGGCGCGCTCCACTTTGGTGAGTCGGTTCACGTCCGTGTCGAACACGTTCATCTTCTCCACGAGGCACGTGAGCGCCGTCTCCGTCGCCTCTCCCACCTTCTCGAAGATTCCCTTGGCCTGAGAACATCACAACACCACCATCATCGTCACCCCCACCCCCATCACCAAGCGTCCCCTTGTTCCACTTTCTCTCCGTCTACTCCTGTCTCACCGTGTCTCACCGTGTTCCTTGTGTCATCTCGTGCCTCCCCTGTGACCCCCCCCCCCTCGTGTCTCTCCGTAATGCCTCTGTGTCTCCCCGTGTCCCCTTTATGTGTCCCCGTGTCTCACCGTGTTTTCTGTATTTCCCCGTATTTGCCCATCTGTTCTTGTGGCTCCCTGTGTTTCCCTGTCTCGCCGTGCATCCCTGTGACCCCCTCCCCGTGTCTCCCCGCATGCCTCCCTTGTCCTCCCGTGTCTCCCCCTGCGTCTCCGCGTGTCTCTCCGTATGCCTCCGTGTCTCCCCGCGTGTCCCCATCCCGCTTTGTATTCCCGCATGCGTCTTGTGCCTTGTCGTGTCACTCGATGTGTACCCGTGTCTCTCCGTGTCTCTCTTAAGTCTCGCCCATCTCCCCATGCCTCATTCTCCCCTTTTCCCCTTGTCCCTGCGGCCAGCTATGGCTACAGGGTTTTGGTGGTACATGTTGTTTATGTCGTTTATTGCGAAATTTCGGTCACAGTTCTTATGATCACTGTTTTTTGGTTCGGCCATGTTTGTTTCTTGTAGTACGGAGTTAGAATGATGGCTTTAATCTAAGTTATCCTGTGGTTGTTTGTTGTTTGACTTGCATCCCACTGGGATTTTTGCACAGAGCGTTGGTGTACGGTGCTTTTTCCGCAATATTTTTTCAGTTTTTTCCTGGATTTTTCTGTTTGCGCATTGTCACTTTAAGATGTTTTCTTGTTCATGTTTTTTGTTTGTTGCGGTTGCACCCGATTCAAGAGCCGAATGGCTCACAGGGCTACACCAAATAAATGAAACTGAAAACTCAAAACTGAATCCCCGTTGCATCTTCCCGTGTCCCCAGCGTTTCCTCGCCTCGTTGAAGTCCAGCGAGGAGTCGTTGCAGAGCGCGCAGATGGTCGCCAGCTCCACCAGGCCGTCGTACTGCCCTGTGCGCACTTTGCTCTCGTTCTTGTACCTGCCGGGGGTCACAAGGTCACTCGCTCATGGGGTCGCTCGGGGGACACCGGGGGACATCTGTGGGTGAAGGTCAATGGGCGCGTGGATGCAAAGAAATCGTACTCTTTGATGTTTTTTCGGCAAAGTCACGTAGGTAAAAAATTAAAAAAATATATAATAAAAATAATAATAAATGAAAATAACTCAATTAAATCACGACGTTTCGGAGGCAACACAAGTCTCCGTCTTCAGGTGGGACCGTCACAGCCAAATTTACTGTATCAAGTGAAACGGAGACTTGTGTTGCCTCCGACACGTCGTGATTTAATTTAGTTATTTTTTAATTTTATTATTTTATTATTTTTTACCTACGTGACTTTACCGAAAAAACCGAAGAGTATGAATCCTTGCCGTCATGAAAGCTTCAAATCTAGAATGCAAAGAAGTCGTGGGGTCTAAAGGGAGTTGGGGGGTCACGGCGGAATGAGGTCAGGAGGGTAGCCCGGGGTGAATTAGGCGATGTGTAGATCGTGAGTGCGTGGAGTGGTGTGCGTGGTGTGTGGATGGTTGTGAGTGAGTTGCACGGTGTGTGTACGGTGTGTGTGGGGAGTGTGCGTGGTGTGTGGATGGTTGTGAGCGCGTTGCATGGTGTGTGTACGGTGTGTGTGGGGAGTGTGTGGTGTGTCTCTGTGTGTGCCGTGGGGTGTGAGGCCTACACGTCTCCTTCCGGCGCGTATGTGGACCCCGTGATGTGGAACTCGGCCAGGGAGCACGAGTCTCCTTCAACCTTGTCCAGCACGAACATCTACAGCACCACCACCACCATCAACAACAACACCACCACCACCATCAACATCAGCAACATCACAGCCATTGCCAACATCATCACGATCATCAACATCATCACGATCATCACCAGCATCATCTACTCCACCACCGCAGACCTCATCACCACCGCCTCCACATCCTCCCCAAATAGAACAAAATACGAAAGATTATCCCGTGTAGCCTGTTGGGGCAAGTACTGTTGTTTTTTGCGAGCACCTGTGAAGGATCGCACGGTTCACGAGGTGGGGTCGTGATCGGGAATGGAATTCGGGTTGCCGGGATCATAGCGCAGCGCGATAAATACTGCACCCGCACCCCCCCCGCCCCGCACACAACAACAACAACAATGGCGCTTGTGCCAGGCTAGGTGCACCTTGAGGCCACGTCAAGTGTGGAAGGGCCTCGCTGCTGGCAGCAAGTCACGGGACAGACCCGGGTGCCACCAATGTGGTCGACTGACCGAGACGAGTGGCAGATAATACTGTAGCAAAAATATATCTCACACACTCCTTTACATTCAACTATTAAAACGAGACAGAGATCCCTCCCCCCCCCCCCATATATTCCAAACATCGCTGCCGGCAAGGTGGTGGGGTGGCGGGGGGGTGGGGTGGGGGGGGCGCTCCGCTCACCCTGCAAACGCTCATCTGGTTGGTGGTAAGCGTGCCGGTCTTGTCGGAGCAGATGACCGAGGTGCATCCGAGCGTCTCGACGGAGGGCAGGCTGCGCACGATGGCGTTCTTCTTGGCCATGCGGCGCGTGCCCAGCGCCAGGCACGTGGTGATGACGGCGGGGAGGCCCTCGGGGATGGCGGCCACGGCCAGGGCCACGGCGATCTTGAAGTAGTAGACGGCGCCGCGGATCCACGAGCCGCCGTGCACGGGGTCGTTGAAGTGGCCGATGTTGATCATCCACACGGCGATGCAGATCAGAGTGATGACCTGGGGTGGTGGTGGTGGGGGTGGGGGGTGAAGAGGGAGGAGAGAGCGCGCACGATGTTGTCAGCTGATGGAGGAGGAGGACAGAGAGGACAATGCAGGAGGAGGGGACAATGGAGGAGGAGGGGACAATGGAGGAGGAGGGGACAATGGAGGAGGAGGGGACAATGGAGGAGAACGGGACAATGGAGCAGGAGGGGACAATGGAGGAGGACGGGACAATGGAGCAGGAGGGGACAATGGAGGAGGAGGGGACAATGGAGGAGGAGGGGACAATGGAGGAGGACGGGACAATGGAGCAGGAGGGGACAATGGAGGAGGACAGAGGGGACAATGGAGGAGGAGGGGACAATGGAGGAGGAGGGGACAATGGAGCAGGAGGGGACAATGGAGGAGGAGGGGACAATGGAGGAGGAGGGGACAATGGAGGAGGAGGGGACAATGGAGGAGGAGGGGACAATGGAGGAGGAGGGGACAATGGAGGAGGAGGGGACAATGGAGCAGGAGGGGACAATGGAGCAGGAGGGGACAATGGAGGATGATGGGACAATGGAGCAGGAGGGGACAATGGAGGAGGAGGGGACAATGGAGGAGGAGGGGACAATGGAGGAGGACGGGACAATGGAGCAGGAGGGGACAATGGAGGAGGACAGAGGGGACAATGGAGGAGGAGGGGACAATGGAGGAGGAGGGGACAATGGAGGAGGAAGGGACAATGGAGCAGGAGGGGACAATGGAGGAGGAGGGGACAATGGAGGAGGAGGGGACAATGGAGGAGGAGGGGACAATGGAGGAGGAGGGGACAATGGAGGAGGACGGGACAATGGAGGAGGAGGGGACAATGGAGCAGGAGGGGACAATGGAGGAGGACAGAGGGGACAATGGAGGAGGAGGGGACAATGGAGGAGGAGGGGACAATGGAGGAGGAGGGGACAATGGAGGAGGAGGGGACAATGGAGGAGGAGGGGACAATGGAGGAGGAGGGGACAATGGAGGAGGAGGGGACAATGGAGCAGGAGGGGACAATGGAGGAGGAGGGGACAATGGAGGAGCACAGAGGAGACAATGGAGGAGGAGGGGACAATGGAGGAGGAGGGGACAATGGAGGAGGACAGAGGGGACAATGGAGGAGGAGGGGACAATGGAGGAGGAGGGGACAATGGAGGAGGAGGACAGAGGGGACAATGGAGGAGGAGGTGACAATGGAGCAGGAGGGGACAATGGAGGTGGAGGGGACAATGGAGGAGGAGGGGACAATAGAGGAGGAGGGGACAATGGAGGAGGAGGGGACAATGGAGGAGCACAGAGGGGACAATAGAGGAGGAGTGGACAATGGAGCAGGAGGGGACAATGGAGGAGGAGGGGACAATGGAGGAGGAGGGGACAATGGTGGAGCACAGAGGGGACAATGGAGGAGGAGTGGACAATGGAGGAGGAGGGGACAATGGAGGAGGAGGGGACAATGGAGGAGGAGGGGACAATGGAGGAGGAGGGGACAATGGAGCAGGAGGTGACAATGGAGGAGGAGGGGACAATGGAGCAGGAGGTGACAATGGAGGAGGAGGGGACAATGGAGGAGGAGGGGACAATGGAGCAGGAGGGGACAATGGAGGAGGAGGGGACAATGGAGGAGGAGGGGACAATGGAGGAGGGGGGACAATGGAGCAGGAGGGGACAATGGAGGAGGAGGTGACAATGGAGCAGGAGGGGACAATGGAGGAGGAGAGGACAATGGAGGAGGAGGGGACAATGGAGCAGGAGGGGACAATGGAGGAGCACAGAGGGGACAATGGAGGAGGAGGGGACAATGGAGCAGGAGGTGACAATGGAGGAGCACAGAGGTGACAATGGAGGAGGAGGTGACAATGGAGGAGGAGGGGACAATGGAGGAGGAGGGGACAATGGAGGAGGAGGGGACAATGGAGGAGGAGGGGACAATGGAGGAGGAGGGGACAATGGAGGAGGGGGGACAATGGAGCAGGAGGGGACAATGGAGGAGGAGGGGACAATGGAGCAGGAGGGGACAATGGAGGAGGAGGGGACAATGGAGGAGGAGGGGACAATGGAGCAGGAGGGGACAATGGAGGAGGAGGGGACAATGGAGGAGGAGGGGGCAATGGAGGAGGAGGGGACAATGGAGGAGGAGGGGACAATGGAGGAGGGGGGACAATGGAGCAGGAGGGGACAATGGAGGAGGAGGGGACAATGGAGCAGAAGGGGACAATGGAGGAGGAGGGGACAATGGAGGAGGAGGGGACAATGGAGCAGGAGGGGACAATGGAGGAGCACAGAGGGGACAATGGAGGAGGAGGGGGCAATGGAGGAGGAGGGGACAATGGAGGAGGAGGGGACAATGGAGCAGGAGGGGACAATGGAGGAGGAGGGGACAATGGAGCAGGAGGGGACAATAGAGCAGGAGGGGACAATGGAGGAGGAGGGGACAATGGAGGAGGAGGGGACAATGGAGGAGGAGGGGACAATGGAGGAGGAGGGGACAATGGAGCAGGAGGGGACAATGGAGCAGGAGGGGACAATGGAGGAGGAGGGGACAATGGAGCAGGAGGGGACAATGGAGGAGGAGGGGACAATGGAGGAGGAGGGGACAATGGAGGAGGAGGGGACAATGGAGCAGGAGGGGACAATGGAGGAGCACAGAGGGGACAATGGAGGAGGAGGGGACAATGGAGCAGGAGGTGACAATGGAGGAGCACAGAGGTGACAATGGAGGAGGAGGTGACAATGGAGGAGGAGGGGACAATGGAGGAGGAGGGGACAATGGAGGAGGAGGGGACAATGGAGGAGCACAGAAGGGACAATGGAGGAGGAGGGGACAATGGAGCAGGAGGTGACAATGGAGGAACACAGAGGTGACAATGGACCATTGATGGTCGCGCTGGTGGAGGTGTTCGTGGTGGTGACAGTGACGGACACACCGATGGGTGAGGCAAGCAATTCAACAATCGGTGCCAGTCGATCGATCGATCGATCCGCAGGTTGCTTGAATGAACGCATGAGCTGGCGGTGACCACTGAATGTCACGCTGCTGCTGCTGCTGGTGGCGGCGGTGGTGAAGGAGGCCACGGTGGGGCTGAGAGCGAGGGGGGAGAGGGGGAGTCACCTTGGAGAGCTGCTCCCCGAACTCGTCGAGTTTCTGCTGCAGAGGAGTCTTCTCCTGTTCGGTGGCTGCCATCTGGTCGCGGATCTTGCCGATTTCGGTGTTCACGCCGGTCGCCACCACTATGCCGACGGCCTTGCCGGCCGCGATGTTCGTGCCCTGTGGGGGGGCGGGGGGGGAGGGTGTTGGGGTCAAGCTCAGTCGTGGCACAACACTTGAACGCACTGGACGTGCGAGCCGGAGGTTGTGCGATTACGAACTCCGGTGCAGATGTGCGAGCGTGGGGAGTTTTAACGTGATATTTTTTTATATGTTCTTTGGTTCTTTCGGTAAGGTCACGTAGAAGGGAAACAATAAAAGAATAAAATTATATAACAATAAAATTCTCACGACGTTTTTTTTTTCTTGCTGTGGTTTTCACACCTGATGACGATTGCTTGTGTTTCAGTCGAAACGTCGTGAGAATTTTATTGTTTATACAGTATTTTTATTATTGTATTGTTTCCCTTCTACGTGACTTTACCGAAAGAACCAATAATATGAATCCCTGCAGTCACAAAAACTTCAAATCTGGTGATATTTTTTTTTCGGTTTGTTAAATAAATGCAGCCAGTTATCAGGGCGCCCCCGGCTTGTCTGTTGGCGGTGGTGTCGTGTGAATGGCACGGGCCCCTGGGTGCAAGGAGTTCAGACGAAACTTTTTATTTTACCAGGTGAGGCCCACTGAGCTATACAGCAATTTTTTTCAGAAGCGACCTGGGCATTTCCAAACGTGGAGGGGTAAAATCGGAGGACCCGGAGAAAAATCCACGCGACCAACGGGGAGAGAGAGACACCGCAAACTCCAACTAAACAGGCGTCAGGGTCGGGATAGAAACCCACGACCTCCTGCGTACCAGGCGAGGTAGTTAACATCTCACCACCGCGGCGCCCCAAGTATGCGTTTAAGAGTATTTGCCTGCTACAAATGTCCACGTGATAAGCCACTTCGTTTTAACGATGATCCGTGATAGCCAGGTCACTTCCGAAAAAGAGCTCCACATAGCTCAATGGGCCCTTACCTGGTAAAATAAAATAAAAAACCCATAAAGTGTGTTCTTTTTCTTAGGGTTTTTCGGTAAAGTCACGAAGGTAAAAAATTAAAATTAATAAAAGTAAAATAAAATAAAAATCACGACGTTTCGGAGGCAACACAAGCTTCCGTCTTTAGGTGGAACCGTCACAGCACGATTGCTGTATCAAGTAAGTATCAAGTACTTAAGTAAGTATCAAGTACTTAAGTAAGTATCATGTACTTGAAACAGCAATCGTGCTGTGACGGTTCCACCTGAAGACGGAAGCTTGTGTTGCCTCCGAAACGTCGTGATTTTTATTTATTTTACTTTTATTAATTTTAATTTTAATTTATTACCTACGTGACTTTACCGAAAAAACCCAAGAATATGAATCCTTGCAGTCACGAAAGCTTCAAATCTAGAAACCATAAAGTGTGGTCACCCCCCCCCCCCCCCCCCCACGGACGACGAGGCGTTGTTCATCGAGACTCACGGAGAAGAGCATGTTCTTCTTGTCCTGGTTGACGGCGCGTGGGTCTGGCACGGGGTCCGTGTGCTTGATCACGGACACCGACTCTCCTGCATTCGCACGGATGACGACGGAGCCAGAGGTGAGTGGGGAGCGGTGGCGCAGTGGTTAGCAGCTGCGGTGCTGCGCTACCGAACCCGGCAAAATCCCGATTCGATACCCCGATCACAACCAATTTTGTGCAGTGGCGACGTATCTGAAACTGGATCTGGTGCCACCACCTCTAAGTCGGCTCAGCCTTAAATGAGTACCCAGTGCGGGGTGTCTTAAACATCAGCGCTGGGAAGCTGGAGGGCGTGGATTTTGGCCATCCACCCTCTCGCTGACAGCACTTTGCTGGGTGGAGGGGTGGTCTTTGTATTATAAACAGTGGTTATTGGACTGGCGGCGACTCGGTAGGCGAGTAATTGTGCATTCACACGCGGGCGTACTCGACTCGCGTACGGAGTGTGCACGTGCGCGCGTGCGGGAGTGTTGCTGCTGGCTGACTGACTGGCTGGCGGCCTTCATAGGTGCTCGCTGACAGCACTTGCCCCACCCACCAAACAGTCTGTTGGAGGGCTATACGGGGAATATTTGTCTTTGCCTTTTTTTCGGGGGGGGGGCTCACTGTGGGGCGATGGTGGTGGTGAGCGGTGGGTGAGCGAACTCCCGTACCGGTGAGGATGGACTGGTCGACGCGCAGCGTGGTGGACTTGATCTCTGAGAGGCGGATGTCAGCCGGGACCTTGTCTCCAACTGTGGTGGGGGGAGGAGACGGCAGCAGCAGCAGCAGCAAAGGCAGAGATTGTTAGTGGGCACGCTCACGGTCCTGGTGGAGTGTTGTGCTGCTGCTGGTGGTGGTGGTGCCCGCGGCTCGTGTCGGAGGGCCTGTTTGAGGTGGCGGAGTAGCATTGAAGATGCTTGGTGATGGAGTCGGTTAGGTGATGATGAAGGTGGTGATGCAGGTGGTTGGTGATGGAGTTGCTAAGGTGGTTATGGAGGTGGTTGGTGATGGAGTTGGTGAGGTGGTTATGGAGATAATTGCAGAGGTGGTTGGTGATGGACTTGGTGAGGTGGTTATGGAGGTGGTGGTGGAAGTGGTGATGGAAGTGGTGATGGAGGTGGTGGTGATGGAGGTGGAGATGGAGGTGGTGATGGAAGTGGTGATGGAGGTGGTGGTGGTGGTGATGGAAGTGGTGATGGAGGTGGTGGTGGTGTTCGAGGCGGTTGGTGATGGAGTTGGTGAGGTGGTGATGAAGATGGTGATGGAGGTGGTTGGTTATGGAGTTGCTAAGGTGGTTATGGAGGTGGTGGTGGTGGCGGTGATGGAGGTGGTGATGGAGGTGGTGATGGAGGTGGTGATGGTGGTGGTGGCGTGGTGTTCGAGGTGGTTGATGATGGACTTGGTGAGGTGGTTATGGAGGTGGTGGTGGAGGTGGTGATGGTGGTGATGGTGGTGATGGTGATGGAGGTGGTGATGGTGATGGAGGTGGTGATGCAGGTGGTGATGGTGATGGAGGTGGTGATGGTGGTGATGGTGGTGATGGAGGTGATGGTGATGGCGGTGGTGATGGAGGTGGTGATGGCGGTGGTGATGGAGGTGATGATGGAGGTGTTTATGGAGGTGGTGATGGAGGTGGTGATGGAGGTGTTAATGGAGGTGGTGATGGACGGTGTTGATGGTGGTGGAGGTGGTGATGGAGGTGGTGATGGAGGTGGTGATGGAGGTGGTGATGGAGGTGGTGATGGAGGTGGTAATGGAGGTGGTGATGGAGGTGTTTATGGAGGTGGTGATGAAGGTGGTGATGGAGGTGGTGATGGTGGTGGTGATGGAGGTGGTGATGGAGGTGGTGATGGACGGTGACGTTTGGCTGTGTGTTCCACGCGTGTCCCTGCCCCCCTACCTGCCACCTCCACCAGGTCCCCGGGCACGAGCTCGCGCGCCTTGATTCTCTGCACGGCCTGGCGGTCCTGCCTGTACACCTTGGCGATCTCGGGCTCGTACTCCTTCAGCGCCTCGATGGCGCTCTCCGCATTGCGCTCCTGGCAGCGCGCAGGGCCACGCGCAGCACGGCATTACACGCAGCACACACAGCAGCACACAGAGTATACACACACAGTACATACACACAGTACACACAGTATATATACACAGCACACACACACAGTACACACACACAGTACACACACAGTACACACAGTATACACACACACAGTATACACACACACAGTACACACACACACAGTACACACACACAGTATATACACACACAGCACACACATGCGGTACACACACACAGTATACACATACAGCACACAGTATACACACACACATCATTACACACAGCGCGCACGCAGCACACATGCGGTACACGCACACACAGTATACACACACAGTATACACACGCAGCACACACAGCACACACATAGCACACACACAGCACACACACACAGTACACACACAGCGCACGCACACACAGCACACGCAGTACACACACAGTATATATATACACACTCACAGCACACAACGCACACCCAGCATAGCATTGCACGCGGTACACCCATCATTACACACAAAGTGCACGGCACTATATACAGGTGTGTGTGTGTAGAGGTGTGTGTGTACAGGTGTGTGTGTGTACAGGTGTGTGTGTGTACATGTGTGTGTACAGGTGTGTGTACATGTGTGTGTGTACAGGTGTGTGTATGTACAGGTTTGTGTGTACAGGTGTGTGTGTGTACATGTGTGTGTACATGTGTGTGTGTGTACAGGTGTGTGTGTGTACAGGTGTGTGTGTGTACAGGTGTGTGTGTACCGGTGTGTGTACAGGTGTGTGTGTGTGTGTGTACAGGTGTGTGTGTACAGGTGTGTGTGTACAGCTGTGTGTTTGTACAGGTGTGTGTGTACAGGTGTGTGTGTACAGGTGTGTGTATGTGTACAAAGGTGCTCGCTAACAGCACTTGCCCCAGCAGTCTGTAAAGGCTATACGGGGGGCCTTTGTCTTTATGTGTACAAATGTGCGTATGTGCAGGTGTGTGTCGCGGTGTATATGTACAGGTGTGTGTGCGCGTTTGTACCTGCCACACGCCCACGATGGCGTTGGCGATGAGGATGAGCAGGATGACGAACGGCTCCACGAATGCGGTGACCGTCTCCTCGCCCTCCTCGAACCACGCGAGAACCTGGTGGGGTCAGAGTCACTGGGTCAGGGTCACTGGGTCAGGCGTCGTAACACGATCGCTGGGTCACTGGGTCCGGCACCGCCACAGAGTCAGGGTCACTGGGTCAGGCACTGCCATGGTCACTGGGTCAGGATCAGGGTTCCTGAGTGAGGGTCGCTGGATCAAGGTCAGGGTATATATTATTCATTGGGTCAGGGGCATTGTTATTGGGTCAGAGGCAATGTCATTGTTGGGTTAGGGTCGTGTTATTGGGTCAGGGTCAATGTCATTGTTGGGTCAGGGTCGTTGTTATTGGGTCAGAGTCAATGTCATTGTTGGGTCAGGGTCGTTGTTATTGGGTCAGGTTCAATGCCATTGTGATTGGGTCAGGGAGAATGTCATTGTTATTGGGTCAGGGTGAATGTCATTATTGGGTCAGGGTGAAGGTCATTGTTATTGGGTCAGGGTCAATGTTATTGGGTCAGGGTGAATGTCATTGTGATTGGGTCAGGGTCAATGTAATTGTTATTGGGTCAGGGTGAATGTCATTGTTGGGTCAGGGTCAATGTTATTGGTCATTGTTATTGGGTCAGGGTGAATGTCATTGTTAGGTCAGGGTCAATGTTATTGGGTCAGGGTCAATGTCATTGTTATTGGGTCAGGGTCAATGTCATTGTTATTGGGTCAGGGTCAATGTTTTTGGGTCAGGGTCAATGTCATTGTTTTTGGGTCAGGGTCAATGTCATTGTGATTGGGTCAGGGTCAATGTCATTGTTATTGGGTCAGGGTGAATGTCATTGTTGGGTCAGGGTCATTGTTATTGGGTCAGAGTCAATGTCATTGTTGGGTCAGGGTCATTGTGATTGGGTCAGGGTGAATGTCATTTTTGGGTCAGGGTCATTGTTATTGGGTCAGAGGCAATGTCATTGTTGGGTCAGGGTCGTGTTATTGGGTCAGGGTCAATGTCATTGTTATTGGGTCAGGGTCAATGTCATTGTTGGGTCAGGGTCGTTGTTATTGGGTCAGGGTCAATGTCATTGTTATTGGGTCAGGGTAAATGTCATTGTTGGGTCAGGGTCATTGTTATTGGGTCAGAGTCAATGTCATTGTTGGGTCAGGGTCGTTGTTATTGGGTCAGGGTCAATGTCATTGTTATTGGGTCAGGGTCAATGTCATTGTTATTGGGTCAGGGTCAATGTCATTGTTGGGTCAGGGTCGTTGTTATTGGGTCAGGGCCAATGCCATTGTTTTGGGGGTCATGGTCAATGTCGGTCAGGGTCAATGTCATTGTTATTGGGTCAGGGTCAATATCATTGTTGGGTCAGGGTCAATGTCATTGTTGGGTCAGGGTCATTGTTATTGGGCCAGGGTCAATGTCATTGTTTCGGGGTCATGGTCAATGTCAGTCAGGGTCAATGTCATTGTTATTGGGTCAGGGTCAATGTTATTGGGTCAGGGTCAATGACATTGTTGGGTCAGGGTCATTGTTATTGGGTCAGAGTCAATGTCATTGTTATTGGGTCAGGGTCAATGTCATTGTTGGGTCAGGGTCGTTGTTATTGGGTCAGGGCCAATGCCATTGTTTTGGGGGTCATGGTCAATGTCGGTCAGGGTCAATGTCATTGTTATTGGGTCAGGGTCAATATCATTGTTGGGTCAGGGTCAATGTCATTGTTGGGTCAGGGTCATTGTTATTGGGTCAGGGTCAATGTCATTGTTTTGGGGTCATGGTCAATGTCAGTCAGGGTCAATGTCACTGTTATTGGGTCAGGGTCAATGTCATTGTTGGGTCAGGGTCGTTGTTATTGTGTCAAGGTCAATGTCATTGTTTTTGGGTCAGGGTCATTGTCAGTCAGGGTCAATGTTACTGTTATTGGGTCAGGGTCAATGTCATTGTTTTGGGTCAGGGTCAATGTCAGTCAGGGTCAATGTTATTGGGTCAGGGTCAATGTCATTGTTATTGGGTCATGGTCAATGTCATTGTTTATTGGTTGGGGCAGGGGTCACTGGGTCATGGTTACTACCAGGTTCCCCCGGGCTCAGGGACTTTGGAACAGGATCAGGGCCACTATTATAGTCCAGGTAATTGCCATGGTCTGGATAGTATGGGTCACTGGTTCAGTATAAACGGTCAAGGGTCACCATGGTCAGGGTCACAGGGTTAGTGTCACTGCCAAGACAAATGTCCGTGATGATGATAATAATGTTGGGGTGATACTGAGGTGGAAATCAAGACTCAGGTTATAATTAGGACCAGTGTTAGAGCTATGGGGCTAGGTTCAGGGCTGAGCATTTGTCCAAACAGTCTGCTTAAAGGCGATACACATTTGGTGTGATGCGAGCTGTGGTGTGATGCGATCTGTGGTGTGACGTGAGCTCACAAAGGAGATGCAGGCAGCCAGAAGCAGAATCCTCACGAGCAAATCCTCAAACTGTTCCACCACCAGGTCCCACAGAGACTTACCTACACAGCACCACCACCATCATCAACACCACCACCACCATCATCATCAACACCACCACCACCATCATCAACACCACCACCACCATCATCAACACCACCACCACCACCATCATCAACACCACCACCACCATCATCAACACCACCACCACCATCATCAACACCACCACCACCATCATCAACACCACCATCATCACCACCACCACCACCATCATCTTAGTTTTTTCGGTATTATTTTTATTAATTTTAATTACATTTTTTTACCTACGTGACTTTACCGAAAAAACTAAGAGTATGAATCCTTGCAATCACGAAAGCTTCAAATCTAGAACCACCGCCATCATCATCTCGTCAACCTCACAACCAACACCACCAACCCACCAAGGGCCGGTAAATGTTATAACGCGTGCGTCCACTAGGGGGTGAGGTGATATTCCCTCTTTAACCACTGGATAGTGCTGTTCAATGGTGCTATGCCATCCGTGTCCACCAGGGGCTGCTGTTCCACGTGTAACCCCCAGAGGTGCTATTCGCTCTTTAACCGATAGGGTTGCGATGTCACCTGTCACTACTGGGGCGCTATTTTAGGCGCGTCCACTCGAGGCCACAATTTCATCTGAAACCATGGGGGGGGGGGGGGGGGGGGTGAGGGGGGGTTGCTATTCCAGTTGTATCCACTAATGGTCTTATGCTGTGTCCATTAGGCGGCGCTATTCCGTTCGTGCCAACTGTCACCATTTCAGCTGTACTCCATTAGGAGTGCTATTCCAGCTGTACTCCATTAGGAGTGCTATTCCAGCTGTACTCCATTAGGAGTGCTATTCCAGCTGTACTCTATTAGGAGTGCTATTCCAGCTGTACTCCATTAGGAGTGCTATTCCAGCTGTACTCCATTAGGAGTGCTATTCCAGCTGTACTCCATTAGGAGTGCTATTCCAGCTGTACTCCATTAGGAGTGCTATTCCAGCTGTACTCCATTAGGAGTGCTATTCCGACTGTGTCTGTTAGGGGGCGCTATGTCGTGGCTCGCAGACCTCTAGAATCAATAATCTTTTTTTGTACCGGACGAAACCGATGAGCAATGAAGCTCTTTTTCACAGATGTCAGAAAGTTACAACGACAACAAGCAATACACAAGCACGATAGGAGTGCACAAGTGTTGGAAAGGTAGGCAAATCGCTAACAGCAAAAAACTATTTTAATTTGACTTGGTAAAGCCCACTGAGCTATTAGGTGATTTTTATTATTATTATTATATAAGCGACCTGGCCGCAAATGATAGCTCAACGGAAGTGGCTTATCACGTGGAAGTGTATAGCAGCCGCCAAGTCATGGACATCGTAGTATCGCTGCCATGCGCACGATAAGTGGGCGGCTACACCGGGCCGGGAATTCTCTGCCGGGTGACGCTGTACCCCGGTGTTGGTCTGCTAGGTGGGGGTAGTGACCGTGCGCTGCATGAGTTGCTACTCACCCTCCTCCGCCGGCAATTCTGCGAAAACAAAACACAAAAAAGAAGGAAAGGCGATTAACGACGATTCCAGAGAAAACGGGTAAAGGTCAGGGGTTAATGGGCAGGGTAACAAAAAAACAGCGGTACTAATTGAGCGCAACTTTAAAGTGTTTTTAAATCCTTTATATTAAGTTCGCTTGCTTGCTTAGGACCGTGCAAATCTTTCGGTCGTTTTTTAACCCACTTCCCGTGATCCAATCGAGCTGACATTTTGCACACAGACTCGTTGTGCGTGACAATTAATGTTCGTAAAATTTTTTTTCCAAATTTTTACACTTTTTACGACAAAAATATTATATTTAATTACCAATTGCTTAATGCTGCCATGCAATCATCTGACCCATAGGTGGTAGCCATCTCAAGCCAGAGGACGAGAGGACTCTAGCCGCCACGCATATAAAGGATTTATAGTGAAAAACTTTGTTCTTACGGGTTATACTTGTTTGTTGTTTTATTTCCTAAGTAACGGAGATTCACGCTTGTGGGAAGACGGACCCGATGGGTAACTACGGAGCCTAAGCGAGCAGCGATCATCCACAAGGGGAAGATTCTATTTCCTCGTATTTTTGGGTTCAGAGTCTTCAAGTGCAGAGAGAGGTGGCTTGTGCCGCGGCATTGGCCATTGCCGGTCCGTCTCAACGGAAGCTGACCTCGCAGGTCGAATCACCCGCCACCTGCTGGTCGAGTGAGATTGATTTGGAGGCTGATAACCAGTGCCAGTCACACACGTTCCCTTCACATATATATATCACCGTCAGCTCGGTGGTTGATTTAATTCGAGAGCAACGTTTTGCTCAAGTTCGCTGCTGCTGACGATACGTTGGCAGCGGTGTGCACAGTTAACAAGAACTCAACACATTCGGTAATAACAAGACTGTGGGCTTAAAATAGATTTTTTTTTATAAGTATGTAATAGGAGACGCACGAAAATGCGCTGTGAAAAGTGGCATTCCCTGAAACGTCGCCTATTATGTAACTTTTTCCAGTTGCCGCAGATTACGTGGCCCGATTACATCTGCCACTCTGCCCCCGCCCCCCCCCCCCCCGTGTAAAACACGCGTTTGATCGGTAATTTAATATAATTTATCATATTTATTACCATCAATATTATCCATAATTATTCCCAGCCCTTTGTTAATCCACTGCTGGATGATGAAGGCTTTTTCTCATGCTGCGTTGAGTCGTGAAGGTATTGGACCATACTTCACACGCCGGTCAGCGCGAGTGAGTAAACGAATATCACCACTAACGTCTCAACAATTTAAACAAAAAAATATATGTAACATTAACCTATTATACTCGTTAAATTGAACTCATTGGTTCGGGGCGCAAACTAATCATTTGCACAGCTGCGCCACACCTCAACCCCATATCCCGTTACGCTCATCTAAATATGTCTCTGTGTAACTCTCTGCGTTTCTATGCAAGTCTATGTGTCCCTACGTACGTCTGTGGGCCTCTGTGTGAGTTTGTGTCTCTCTGTGAATCTCTCGGTTGCTATGCGGGTGTCTCTCTGCGTGTCGGTCTGCGGGTCTCAGGAGAATCCCGAGGACGAGTGACGTCATCTCTACGAATTTTTCCAGAGGGCTTAAGAAAGTGAACGTCTGCGACAAATATATATCGCTGAAACCCAAAGGCTTATCACTGGGATAGAGAAAAAACAAACTTGCAAAGACATGAATTATGCCTATTGAACACGCAGGCTGTCGCGACCAATATTATTCATAATAAATGTTTGTTGGGTTAGATCGCGTAAGTATAATTATGATTAATTTATGCCGATTTGGGCCCGACAAAAAAACTACAAAACCATTTGCTGTTGTATTTCCTGTAAGGTAGGATCTCTATAAAAATCCAAAATTTATCTCAGCCTCTCGATCATGAAATTAAAACGTATCTACGATGTCCATCGGCATCATCATCAGCGGTGAACCAAGTTCTTTGCCCTCCTGTGGAGTGTGACATTTACAAGGTCAATAGGATGCACACATAAGCCAGAAATCCCTCGTGTAGCCCTGGGTAATCTATAGGAACAGGTGGTTGCTGGCGAACACCTATTAAGGCTGCGTGCAGTCAAAGTCAAAATTTAAATCTCCGCATCTCCCGTTTCAAGCGACTGGAAATTCCTCATTCCTTAGGACCAGGATCAAATCGCAAACACAGAGGACAACCTCTGGCAATGTATTTATATTCATCATAACATTGTGGGTGGCCTTAAAAGGAAAACACTGTAGACGACGTTTCTGGCATTGACCCTTCTTCATAGCGCGGACAAAAGTGTGGTGATACGCTTATTCGATAAATATGGTGTATGTAGTGGTTGCGGTCAGGACATTGAGTCCGACACATTTGAGGGCATAGTTTCGAACGCCTGCCATTCGGATGTCGTTTACTTAGTTCGGAACGCGGCAAGTCACCACTCTATCACAATCAGAATAATTAATTTATCCTGGAGGAATCGGATGAGTTATAAGGCTTTTTTTTTTACAAATGCCCAACAGAGACCTTGTGTTCTTCGAATTCGAGTCTCAGCCACGCGAAATTAAACCGGCTTCCCAAGTGTAAGCGAGTTGAAAGGCAGAAAATATAAAATATGAATATTAAATCATCTTGAAAGATGTCTTCCTTTGGAACCATCCGTTAGAATTTATAAAGAACGATGATATTTATCTGTCGAGGAAATGCCCTGTGAGTCGTAGGTATTTTTTTTTTAATTCACGATGGTCCTGCAAATGATATATTTTGTGCCAATGTGTTTTCAAGAGGGAGCGAGCGAGAGAGAGAATTGTTTGGTGTGGGAAGAAGCCGCACAACCTGAGAATTAAAAAAAAAATTCTCACCCAACAAGCATACGAGGCGACAAACACTCAAAAGTGTCCCCTGGCACATACTAGTTTGCGAACCTACTTGCTGTTACTACCGTACATTATCCTCCTCGCTCAGATGATCCACCAAAACGGGTACCTGGATCACAGCCACGTGTGTGTGCCATCACTACGCGCGGCCTTCAATTCGTGGAAACTTTTCGCTGTGATCAACCAACTTCAATTAATTCCGAGGCCAGTTGCGCTATCGCGACACGGACGCAATCGATAGGAAACTCCAGCAGAGCAGAGCAACGCATCACCCCAGGACTACCGCCTCGTTGAGATCCCCCATCGTGTGAGCGATCATCATCATCATCGTCGTCGTCATCATGATCAACTTCCATAAACGCCATGAGAGAGCTGCGTTTGTCGCATGCCAGAGTTGGGTTGTATCATCCAATTCAATTGATTGATCGACCCATTCGTGTATTGACAACCCAAGAGTCATTCATTGAAAGCCTGATATTCAATGTGAATGACTGGGTGGCTGGGCTGAAGTCATCGACTCTTTGCACTTGAGAATATCCTGAGCCATGTGGCTACCCTCGTTGTGCTTGTTCTCCCCAACCAGTGATACAAGACTGCTTCCGCTTATCAACCATATCATCATCTACTTCGGGTTGATAAAATAGGTACCGAGATTTTTTTTGGAGGGCACATCAACCCTGTGAGTTAACTGACTCCCACCTTCATCCCCCATCCCCTACCCACCCACCATAGGAAAATGCAGAATTTACACCCCTGGGCTCAATGGTCTAAATAAATGAAACGCTTGTGACCACGTGGCCTTCCATGGGATGCCGCCAGTTGCTATTCTCAGTCTCAACGAAGTCTCCCCGCGTCTCTCCATTTGCTCCGTGTCCGTATGTATGTACGTGTGCGTGCTGAACTTCTTTCGCGCCGTACGTAGCCGACCATGCTAATCTGTGCGCTGCACGTGGCACTCACCAAACAGCGGAGGACCAATCAAATCGCGCGAGCGCGCTGATGGCTTTTGAGACGCCGTTCAAAATGTTTGTTAAAATGCCCCCCATACCACGCGCTCTCGTTGTATCATTATTATTATAAAAAAAGTTTTTTCTCACGAAAACCCAACTTGGAACGGAACAATCTGACGGAACGCGAGTGGAATGATTCAATACGATCGTGAAAATTGTCACTTGCATTGACAATCGTCGCCACCACCACCACCACCACCACCATCGTCACCATCGTCTAATGTATACGTCAGAACGCACAATGTATGGGATTGCCAATGAAGAGTATTGTTTCATTTAAAACATATTTACCATTCCCGTGAATTCTATGTGAATGCTCGACGACTCGCAGACCCGAACTGCAGGGCGCGTGTTTGCGTCCCCACGTGGATGGCTGTACGGGAACTCACCGCTGGCGACGCGCCCGATAACCGACCCCTTAAGGGGGGCGGTGGTGGGGGGGGGGGTCTCGGTCACAGCGAGCAGCGTGTTCATGCTCATCGCTGAGTTCGGGGGGCGGCTCGTGTTGGTGGTGGTGATTGTGCGCATGCCGATGATGATGGTGGTGGTTGGTGGTGGTGGTGCCCTTGGTAGGCGGTGCTGCCCGGTGCACGTGCGGATTGATGGTGGTGGCTATTCGTATTTTTGGTGGTTGCACGTGTTCCGTAGTGATGCTAATGATGATGATGATGCTGGTGGTGGTGCTGATGATGGTTGTCGTGGTGGTGGTAGTGATGATGCTGTTATCGTTGCTCATTCTGGCGCGTCATGTTGCTGATGGTGTTTATGGTGCTGATGATGCTGATTACGCAAGTTTTAAATGTGTGCATGTGATTTTTTTTTCTCTTCTGCAACGAATGGTGATGCACGTATTACGATGCGCACTTCTCTCCTCGATGTTACAGCCTCCCCTCTCTTTCTCTCTCATCTGCCAACGGGTACCGCTCAAACCACCACCACCTCCTCCCCGTGTATCTCCTCCTCGTGCTCACCGTTGGGTCCATGCTTCTCGCGGAGTCGCCGCACCTGCTCCAGGGACAAGCCCTTTTGCGGGTCGACGCTGAAGAACGACACAACCTCGGCGACCTCCTTCGCGTGGCCCTGATCCATGGTGGCTCCTTAAAGCGACCTTCTTTCCAGGCGCGCACCGTCCCGGTTCAGCACACCACACAGCACCCACTCCTCCTCGGCAGCAGCAGCAGCTCTCAACCACCCACACCGACCCTTCCTCGCTTGCTCCACCAACCCCCCCCCTCCCCAGTCCACCACGGCCGCTGTGTCCCGCGCGCGCGCACGCTGCAGTTATAAGCCCACACCGGGATGGTGGCCCCTATCTTCTGTCTTGTTATTCGTCGTCGTCTTCTTCCTCTTCGTACTGTGCTCCGGGTGCACGCGCGTGTGCGTGGTGTATTGTGTGTGGTGCCTGGGAGGTGTGCAGAGGTGTGTGCGTGTGCGTGTGCGCGCGTGGGAGGGGTGTGCGGGTGTGTGTGTGTGTGTGTCTGAACTCCACGCTATGCGCGCACACAACGCACGCTCGCGCCTCGGACCTGCTTTATAAACGCCACTCTTCTTTTTTGGGTACCGGTGGCGGGGGGGCGGTACGGGCGAGGGGGGGGGGTGAGTGGGGGGGGGGTGATTTGGGGGGGCTGATGGTGGTGGATGGTGGGATCGCGGGGTGGGTAGGTGGGGGTGCGCAGGGGGGGGGGGGCAGTCAGAAGGGGGTGGGGGGGGGTGTGATGGTAAAAGTTGGAACCTAAATTTAGAAAAGTTCTGCTCGAGCAGAAAACTGAGCCGCAGCTCCGAGATTGAGCACGCATGTGAGACGGGGGTGTCTGTGTGTGCGTGTGAGTGTGAGTGCGTGTGAGTGTGAGTGCGTGTGAGTGTGAGTGCGTGTGAGTGTGAGTGCGTGTGAGTGTGAGTGCGTGTGAGTTCTGAGTGCGTGTGAGTGTGAGTTCGTGTGAGTGTGAGTGCGTGTGAGTGTGAGTGCGTGTGAGTGTGAGTGCGTGTGAGTGTGAGTTCGTGTGCGTGTGGGGAGCTGGAGTGCAGTGGTCAGCGCGCTGCGCCACCAACCCGCAACCCGAGTTCGATTCCGGTTCACGGCCGGCAACGGCGTCGAATATTTGAACCTGGGACTCCGCTTGGTCTGTTCAGCCACAAAAGAAGTACCTGTTGAGATGTGTAAATATCGCCACTGGGGAGACAAAGGCGGCCGGGCGTGGTGCTGGCCACCCACCCATTCGTGTGCCGTGCCGGCCTTCATAGTTGCTCGCTAACAGCACTTGCCCCAACAGCCGGCCACGACTATATGTGGGATCTTTGTGTTTGTGTGTGCGAGTGTCGGTGTGACTATGAGCGTGCATGTACTCGTGTGTGCGCGCGTGAGTGTTTCATCGGGAGCGGTGGCGCCGTGGTTAGCGCACTCGGCTACGAACCTGGCGGTCCCAGTTTGATTCCCTCTCATGGCCAACACCAGTGACAAATATCTGAAACCGGTCCCGGGCCCTCGCCTCGTTCGACTCAGCCTGTGAACTTTAGCACTGGTGAGACAAAGGCGGCCGGGCGTGGTGCTGGCCACCCACCCCCCTCGTGTGCCGTCCGGCCTTTGCAGGTGCTCGCCGCTGACAGCACTTGCCCCAACAAACAACAAAGGCTATACGGGGTATCTTCGTGTTACGTGGTGTGTGCGCGTGTGCGTGCGTGCGTTTGCGTTTGTATGCGTCGGTATGTACCCGTGGGTATGTTTCAACGGCTAAAACCGCGTACGTCTGAATCGTCTTATCGTTGTTGTTCATAGGCCGTAGGGCAGGAGACGTTTCGCCCCCGTGGTCTCGCGAAGCGACGATCCCATGCTGGCGCTTCTGCGAACGAGCCGCTGACGCAGCTCCATCGCAGTCGGCGGCGGACGACTTCTCGGGCACGGTCGCCTCCTCCTGTTGGGTTCCACTCCAATGATTGCTCCTCGACCCACCCGGTGATGGACGTGTGTTGAACTTCTTTCGCACCGTATGTAGCCAACTGAACCGCACTAATCAATGGGTGGGGGGGGGCAACGGACTTAACACAGATTCCAAGAACACAGGATGAGATGTTACTATCCTTTGTGCAAGCACTTCCAAGAGTTCATGAACAGTGAGCCTGGTGAAATTTGGGGAGCGCATCGTCAGTAGTGAACCTTTGGTTCCTAGGGTGTTTCGGCCTTTCACACTATACACCCTCCCCAAAGGCGGCCAGCGACAGGGTGATCAATCCTACGCTTGCGTCCCATGCCCAATTAGTCATAGGAGTTGCTTTGTTGTTGATAGCCAGCAGTTGGAAAGAAATGATCTGTAATAAAGGTGTTGTGGGTTAGATCGCGTAAAAATAAATGTGTCGTTAAACCCGCCACCACCCGACACAGCCAATTAGCGAGGTTTGTCACGAAAACCAAAATGTGGCAATTACGACTTCAAATACACCGGCGTGTTTAGAGAGTAAACCGACAACATTTACAATTCGATTTACGACGTTTCGCTGGTGATGACAACCAGCCGCATCAGGCTACATCCAGAAATTAGTTTTCAATCTAGATTTCAAAGTGCTTCCTCGCATCGGAAGGAAGAGCGTTCCAGACGGCCGCGAAAGCGCTTCGGTCATCGTCCCTTCCAGCCACGTGACCTGCATCGGCACATTTTTTTTTCTCAACGGTCAATGGGATGATGATGACGATGATGCATCCAACTTTTGGATGTTCTCTTAACGCACCTGTTCCTCTTCCTAACTCCAAGCGATGACACGGTTGTGCTGTATTGTGTATGTACGTTGAACTTCTTTCGCACCGTACGTAGTCAACCGTGTAAAAATCGGAGGGGCATGCACGTGTGTCCTATAAATGTGCACTTGCTTACGTGGAGATGCCTGGTCACGTGTGTGTACCGTGTGTGTGTACGCGTGTGCAATACGTATGCACGTTACATACGTGTCGACGTGTATTGTGTGCGTACGTGTCGGTTATTCATGTATAATGTATGCGCGTGTGGATATAATACACACATGTACGTGTGTATGTTTCTTTATATGTAATGTGTTTATGTATGCATGTATGCGTGTATGATGTGTGTGTGTGTATAACCGCGTTTTGCGTCAAATGAGTACCTGGTGCGGTGTGTAACCATCGCCACTGGGGAGACAAAGGCGGCCGGGCGTGGTGTCGGCCACCCACCCCCTCGTGTGCCGTGCCGGCCTTTGTAGGTGCTCGCTAACAGCACTTGCCCCAACAGTTTGCTAAGGCTATACGGGGGGTATTTGTCTTTGTGCATCTATAGGTGCATTGGGGAGCGTTCGTGCAAGGGTTAAGACACTGCGCTACGAACCTGGCGACCAAACTTCGATTACCGCTCACGACTAATAACCGTGGCGAATACTTGTGATCCAGTCTTGTGCCTCCCCTAGGTCGACTCAGCCTTAGATTAGTATCTGGGGCGGTGTGTAGACATGAGCACTGGGGAGGCAGATGCATGCGTGATTACGGCCACACCACCCCTTCGTCTACCGTGTATGTATCTAAGTGCGTATTTGTGTACAAGTGTGTGCATATTAACTTGAACTTGAATCTGGTATGTATGTCTGCTGAACTTCTATCGCACCGTACGTGCTAAGCGTAGGTGCGGGGGAAGGCCAACAAACTAAACACAGACGGCAGTTCTCAAGAAAATAGTTTTCAACCGAGACGATTTAAAAGCGCATAGCGCTCCCCAATATCGGAAGGCAGAGCGTTCCAGACGGCCGCAGAAGCTCATCTGAAAGCGCAGCGCGATGCACGTGGCCGTCTTCGTTCGATGGCAGCAGCCAAAAAAGTTGTTGCTGTGAAGATGACACGGAGTTCGCGTGATGGTTCATGCCCCTTGACGAGATCAGCGAAGTACTGCGGTTCATTTGTGGCAAAGCGCTGTGTGCGTAGTGTAGTTCGACCTCACGATGTGCGTTCATTCGACGATGGGACGCTGGCAAAGAAAGAAAGCGGAACGGAGTCTGACAATTACGCAAGGAAAGGCACCCCAGGAGGCGTACACGCAGGTTTTGAATTGCACGGAGTGGCAGGGAAGAGGGAAGACGTGGCTCAAAGACAAAGATCCCCCGTGTAGCCTTCAACAAACTGGCGGGGCAAGTGCTGTTAGCGAGCTCGATGGATTGGCGTTGGTTGGATCGAGAGACGGGGGGGGGAGATCTTAATCCCGAAGTTGATTGATTATATTTTTTTCGTGTCTAATTTTGCGCCGAATTATGTACCTAATTGTGTTTGCTTACTGTACTCGTATCATTGTGTGTGTATTCATATATTTCAGTAAGAGTCTATAGATATGTGGGTGGGTCTGGGTACACACGTGTGTGTAATCATATGTATGGCTGTCAGTGTGTGTCTTTGTTGCTGCATCTATGCACATGTATATAGATATGTGTGTGTCTGTGTTTGTGCGTATGTCATTAGATATGCATTTGTGCATTCGTATGCGAGCATGTATGTCTGTGTCAATATATATTTATGTGTACGTCATGATGTATGTGATGTATGTGGGGAGGGCTAGTGTAGCGGTTAGCGCGCTGCGCTATGAACCCGGCGACACGAGTTCGATTCCCGCTCACGGCCAACACCAGTGACGATTATCTGAACCGGTCCTGGGCCTCCCCTAGGTCGACTCAGCCTCAAATGAGTACCTGGTGAGGTCTGTAAACATTGCCACTAGGGAGACAAAGGCGGTCGGGCGTGGTGCTGGCCACCCACCCCCCTCGTGTACCGTTCCGGCCTTCATAGGTGCTCGCTAACAGCACTTGCCCCTACAGTCTGTTCAGGCCATATGGGGGAATCTTTGATGTATGTGCATACACGTATATGAGCGGTGCCACGGTGGTTAACGCACTGCGCTACGAAACTGGCGATCCGGTCAGCCTTAAATGAGAACCTGGTACGGTATTTAAAATATAAAACATTAGCACTTGGGAAACAAAGGCGGGGTGTTGCCAACCACCCCCATCGTGTGGCGTGCCGGCCTTTTTCGTTGTTCGCTAACAGCACTTGCCCCTAGCGTCTGTTAAGGCTACATGGGGGATCTTTGTCTTGTCCTTTATATATACGTATATCCTGGGTCTTTCTCGTGACCTCCCTCCGGCGAGCCTATGACACGTCACTTTGCATGTGTGTATGTCACGATATACGAATGAGCGTATGCTTGTGTATGCGTGAATACACTGTGTAACACGATTTTTGTTCCTGGGTAGTAAGTGTTGTTTTCTAATTGCTTATGCCTCAAAAGTATAGAAAATGGCTGCTATTATCACCCACAAAGCTTGCTTTTGTGACCAGGACTTTACGTGAAGGAATTACACAAATGCACACGTTTTCTCATTGAAAATAGGTACATTTAAAAATATCAATGTCCTGGTTACAAAAGCAAAGTTTGTGGGGAATAATAGCCATGTTTTGTACTTTTGAGGCATAAGCAATTAGGAAATAACACTTACTACCTAGGAACAAAAACAAATATTTATTTTTTTGTTA